AAGACCATTGTGTTGTTAAAAATTATACTTCAGAAGTTAATTTAGTATCAAAAACGTAAAATATTTGAGTAGCCCAAGACATAGCCAAAGCACTGGTGAAAATTTAAATTTGCCGACTGGAATTCTTTCAGATGATTGACTTTCGGATAATCGACGCTCTACTGTATTAACATTGTCTGCCAGTATTATTATTTTACTTGAAATATTACTAAAACTACTTTCAACAAATTTCATATTGTCGTCTTCAAGTATAGAATAAAGGTTCTATTATTTTATACCCAAAAATGACAATCTGAAATTTGTCAAAAGAAGCTGTTGTAATATTTCAAGTAAAATAATAATGCCGACAGACAGTGTTAATATTTTCTTAAATTATTTGGTGTCACAGGAAGCAATTTCAAGCATTTTAACCCTTGATAATTGTCATAAATTAAAACAATGTGTTTCATAATATAGATGAAAAGAATAACGTACATTTTTTGTCANTCTGAAATAGATAGTCCTATGACTAAAGATGCTAGAGTGATATCAGGTAGAAAAAAAAAACAGTCTTTATTTTTCGATATGTTTTGTTGAATTGCAGAATTGAGTCACCAGTATAATAAGTCCTAGTAGGCAAATTATATACTAAACATATGATAAGGACACAAAGGCATATAATTTAATTGAATTACAGTGTATTTAGGGTTTAAATTTTTTGAAGTGCTAGTTTACATGTTTGAAAAATCTGGACAGGATGCTGTCCCAATTAATCCAGATTTTCAATGCTTCACAGAATTAACTGTCAAAGTACAAATAGTTAAGTAAAGGTGTATTTTAATAATCAGCTTATTAAAGATTTGTATGGTAAATCATCTAAAACAAATAATATGCCTCCATGTTTCTCAGGTTCTCTATGGATTTCTTCTAAATTATAATTTCACTAACATAGTTACATAATATCTATTCTTACATTTAATGAGCTTGTTAATTCTTTTAATTGCAGTCCTCTTATATTTGCAACATATACAGTATTTTTAATCTTAACTTTGCATTTTTTTAAACTAAAAGAATTATACATTATGACAAAGTAAATATTAATAATTAATTCTGAAATAGATAGTCCTATGACTAAAGATGCTAGAGTGATATCAGGTAGAAAAAAAAAACAGTCTTTATTTTTCGATATGTTTTGTTGAATTGCAGAATTGAGTCACCAGTATAATAAGTCCTAGTAGGCAAATTATATACTAAACATATGATAAGGACACAAAGGCATATAATTTAATTGAATTACAGTGTATTTAGGGTTTAAATTTTTTGAAGTGCTAGTTTACATGTTTGAAAAATCTGGACAGGATGCTGTCCCAATTAATCCAGATTTTCAATGCTTCACAGAATTAACTGTCAAAGTACAAATAGTTAAGTAAAGGTGTATTTTAATAATCAGCTTATTAAAGATTTGTATGGTAAATCATCTAAAACAAATAATATGCCTCCATGTTTCTCAGGTTCTCTATGGATTTCTTCTAAATTATAATTTCACTAACATAGTTACATAATATCTATTCTTACATTTAATGAGCTTGTTAATTCTTTTAATTGCAGTCCTCTTATATTTGCAACATATACAGTATTTTTAATCTTAACTTTGCATTTTTTTAAACTAAAAGAATTATACATTATGACAAAGTAAATATTAATAATTAATTCTGAAATAGATAGTCCTATGACTAAAGATGCTAGAGTGATATCAGGTAGAAAAAAAAAACAGTCTTTATTTTTCGATATGTTTTGTTGAATTGCAGAATTGAGTCACCAGTATAATAAGTCCTAGTAGGCAAATTATATACTAAACATATGATAAGGACACAAAGGCATATAATTTAATTGAATTACAGTGTATTTAGGGTTTAAATTTTTTGAAGTGCTAGTTTACATGTTTGAAAAATCTGGACAGGATGCTGTCCCAATTAATCCAGATTTTCAATGCTTCACAGAATTAACTGTCAAAGTACAAATAGTTAAGTAAAGGTGTATTTTAATAATCAGCTTATTAAAGATTTGTATGGTAAATCATCTAAAACAAATAATATGCCTCCATGTTTCTCAGGTTCTCTATGGATTTCTTCTAAATTATAATTTCACTAACATAGTTACATAATATCTATTCTTACATTTAATGAGCTTGTTAATTCTTTTAATTGCAGTCCTCTTATATTTGCAACATATACAGTATTTTTAATCTTAACTTTGCATTTTTTTAAACTAAAAGAATTATACATTATGACAAAGTAAATATTAATAATTAATTCTGAAATAGATAGTCCTATGACTAAAGATGCTAGAGTGATATCAGGTAGAAAAAAAAAACAGTCTTTATTTTTCGATATGTTTTGTTGAATTGCAGAATTGAGTCACCAGTATAATAAGTCCTAGTAGGCAAATTATATACTAAACATATGATAAGGACACAAAGGCATATAATTTAATTGAATTACAGTGTATTTAGGGTTTAAATTTTTTGAAGTGCTAGTTTACATGTTTGAAAAATCTGGACAGGATGCTGTCCCAATTAATCCAGATTTTCAATGCTTCACAGAATTAACTGTCAAAGTACAAATAGTTAAGTAAAGGTGTATTTTAATAATCAGCTTATTAAAGATTTGTATGGTAAATCATCTAAAACAAATAATATGCCTCCATGTTTCTCAGGTTCTCTATGGATTTCTTCTAAATTATAATTTCACTAACATAGTTACATAATATCTATTCTTACATTTAATGAGCTTGTTAATTCTTTTAATTGCAGTCCTCTTATATTTGCAACATATACAGTATTTTTAATCTTAACTTTGCATTTTTTTAAACTAAAAGAATTATACATTATGACAAAGTAAATATTAATAATTAATTCTGAAATAGATAGTCCTATGACTAAAGATGCTAGAGTGATATCAGGTAGAAAAAAAAAACAGTCTTTATTTTTCGATATGTTTTGTTGAATTGCAGAATTGAGTCACCAGTATAATAAGTCCTAGTAGGCAAATTATATACTAAACATATGATAAGGACACAAAGGCATATAATTTAATTGAATTACAGTGTATTTAGGGTTTAAATTTTTTGAAGTGCTAGTTTACATGTTTGAAAAATCTGGACAGGATGCTGTCCCAATTAATCCAGATTTTCAATGCTTCACAGAATTAACTGTCAAAGTACAAATAGTTAAGTAAAGGTGTATTTTAATAATCAGCTTATTAAAGATTTGTATGGTAAATCATCTAAAACAAATAATATGCCTCCATGTTTCTCAGGTTCTCTATGGATTTCTTCTAAATTATAATTTCACTAACATAGTTACATAATATCTATTCTTACATTTAATGAGCTTGTTAATTCTTTTAATTGCAGTCCTCTTATATTTGCAACATATACAGTATTTTTAATCTTAACTTTGCATTTTTTTAAACTAAAAGAATTATACATTATGACAAAGTAAATATTAATAATTAATTCTGAAATAGATAGTCCTATGACTAAAGATGCTAGAGAATAGTTGTCATTATTGTGAATAATTTATTTTGTTTTTTCATCAATGGTAACTTGAAAAAACAATNTTAAAGGTTCTTAAAAGAATAACAACAAGATAAAAAATTTAGTTTGCAATGTTTATTATACATCCACTAGACATTTTTGTTTGTAAAAATGATTATTAATAACTGATTAGCATATTTAACTCCTCCTTAATGCCTGAGCATGTCCTTAGATTTGGTACTGTTGATTGGATGTAGAATGACTCATAAAAATCACTAGCAAATGAACACTACAAGCACAACAACAATCATTGTGACTGCTAATGTATTTTACTTACTCACAGGAAGCTGAAATTTTTTGATTTTTCCTGAATTTGAATGTTTTTCATTACCATAAAGTTTTATTCTTACAAATGCAAAAAGCAATCACTTTTGACTACTGATTTATTTCATTGTTTTATTACCTTTTACCTTTTCTTATTTTTCACTTCTGCTTCATGTGTGTATTTATGATTTGTGAATACTAACACTCCTATGTGAATGTTGCTGCTAATCTTTTGCATTTTCTGTGTCTTTTGTTAGAACAACTTTTTGCTTCAGTTTTGTTAGAAATATTCATGTAGCATGTATGCAAAAATGATATATTTGATTATCATCTGCTGACTGGAGATGAAATTGCAAATATATTAGCAAATTTTTCAGAAAGTGACCATACAGATGACATTCTTATTCATTATCATTAGCCAATAGATTATGTCCCATCCAACGAAATGGATGCTAATCAGGATAACGATGAGAGTGATACTGTTCATCATCACTGATTTCAACTAATTAATCTCTCACAAACAAACCACTATCAACCTCTCTACAAAGACACTCAAAATATATAGTATCTTATATATGCTTATTCTTACTGGTATAATAGATATACAAGAAATATTTTATAACAAATCTACAGAATAATAATATAGCTATCATTGCTTGCTTTTTTTCACACAAAAAAGAAACTATTTTTATATATGAACAGATACTGTTTGTGATAGGCAACAATGAGGTAATTTTTACAGAGTAGATGTCAGTGTTTAATTTATTATATGAAGTATATGTAGTTCCCCAATTTGAGAGAACAACCCCTAACCTATGAAACTTTCCCTTAAAACGATGTAATGTTCTAGAATATTGATTTTATTTTTTGAGAACAGTGATATATTTTTATGATTTGAAATTATTATTTTATACAACTAATTTTAAATTCATAGTTCTAGTGTTAAATTAGTGTGTATTTATTCCTGTAAAATGAAAATACTCTGACTTTTCCAGGTTTTCCCTGATTTCTAGACTGATATGAACCCTGGAATTCTTTATATTTGTAAAGAATTCTTCATTTAAAAGTCAGTATCTTTTCTCAAACAATTATGACTAACGATGTACAAGACAAATCACAAGCTACATGTAAATTGTTAAACAACAGTTTAAGACACTTACATTTTTGCCAATTAAAAACAAAAGCCCTTCGCTAGCATATGTTTTAATTTCCATGCTGAAGTCTGTGGTTCTTTTAAAGTTATGCCGTCTAATCGGTAAGATTGCATAACCTGTTCCGTCAAATCTCAGACCGTTACTTGGCTGAAGAGTAACAAATGCATCTCTCTCGATGCAACCTTCGAAATTATTTTCTGCTTTAACAAAATTCCACAGACCAACTGGAGTTTTACCAAATTCTAATTCTTCTATACAGCCAATAAAATGTCGTGATAACACTTCTGCTTGAATCTGTAATTTATATATATGGTTAAAATTAGAAAAATGAGAATGTTGACACTGCTAGGATTTCTTCTTTAAATCTCACTTTAGCGTCATCTGGTATTCCACCAATGTAAAACTTAGAATGATGTTGATCCAAATTAAATACACTATATGTTCCTGGTAAAACATCCTGTTTAACTGAATCATCTTCCCTTTCTGTTCTTACTGTCAATGTGAAAGTTTTTCCAGTTCTAAAAAAATTAGTAAATTTTTCCATACATTTAAAACATTTTAAACATAATGAGAAAATGATATAAGAATACCTTTCAATGATTGCTTGATGCCAGACTCCATCAGCCACATAACGATCATTCACAATTCTATTAACGCCATATCCTAGATCAACAGATAACACTAGTCTTCCAGCTTGTACTTCTAAAGCCATAAAATCATCCTTAAAAAAAATAAAAAATAAACTTTAAATTTTTAAAAAATCATAAACATGTTATATGACTAAGTTCTTAAATTATTACTGTTAAAGCATTCCAAATAAGATTATGAGTTCCTTTTTCATTTCCGACATATATTAGAAGTCCATCGGATTTTTCTGTATTGAAATACAGCGACATGTGAGTGTAAGTTGCCGATCTATCTAGTCCTTCGGGATTTCGTAGCTGTAGCGTAGTATTGTCAAAAAATCTAACACCTAATTTAATCTGCAATAAATTTTGGACAATTATATTAACAATTTTTAAATATAAAGTTTCAACATAAATAAAAACTTTTTATACCCTGTTAGCTTGATTTTGAGCAAGAGCAACTTTCTGACGAAGTTCGGCTATTTTGTCACTGACGTCTTTACCAGTTATTCTTACTGCCGTTTCCTTTTTTCCAACTTTTTCCAGCAGATCATCAATTTCTGGATCAATTGTTTTCACCAAATCCACTAAATTTTAATAAAATATTATGTGTTAGTAACATGCATATAGTTATAATTAATTTTGTATTTGTTAGATATTTATTCTACTTCTTACAATACTTATCAGCTGTTTTGACTGCATCTTTAATCTCGTCCAAATTAATAGGTATTTCTTCTGCCGTATCTCTATCTTCTTGTATTTTTAACAAAATATTTTCAATATCTTCTTGTACACGATTTGCCAGATTTTCAGCCTCCACTGATTTATCATTGGCATCATTAATCATGTTTTGTAATTCTCCTAAATTATTAAATAAAGCAGTTTTGATTTTATATATTGTAATGACAGCATATAATTACATACATTTATATGTTTATAACTAAGTGAATAGGATTCAAAATATAATCAATGTTCTCCCCAGTCTTTTGTGGTTAGGTGCTTTGTCCAGTTAATTTTACTTACTATCCAGCTACTTATTTTGGTGAATTGACACATTAGAATAATGATTATTGTAAATTATAAAGTTCCATTCCTTTCTGTGAAATAAAATAATGCAGAAACAAAACACACAAATATTTTAAATCTCTAACATAGAGAGGACCCTGAAAATCAAATTTAAAATATTTTTTCGTCTGTCGGCATAAGCAGAAATGGGAAGTCGATAGCCAATGGAAAATGAGGACTGTTGCAACATCCATAGGTCAATATGGCCAACAGAACAAAATGAAATGCCAGTTGCTTATAAGGAAATATGAATTAGAAAGATTTCCTATACCCATCAATATTTAACTTATATAAAATTTGATTCCTAATCCAAAGTGTAGAAAAAACATAGATTTATATCAGAAGTGAACTAATTGAAAGGAAGACTGTTTAGAATCTTTGTTTTGTCTCAAAAGTAATAAAGAATGAGTAACAGACTAGGATTTTTGTGATGTTTCATAATTGTTAAACTATATTATACATGCTTGTCTTTTATTTGATGCATGAACTTATCATTTGTAGTAACGTCTTTTTTCTTGCATTGGATATTTTTTGTTTGTTTTTGGGCCACAACTTGAAAAAATCGTACACCTATAAATTCCCACTGGTGTATGTCTGTCCTTCCTTAATCTTGAGAACAGTGTGAGATAGATGAATGTCAAGACCAGATATGGAAAGCATTGGAGTAAGATACATGATTGGCATGACTTTGTTTCATTGTTAACAAGAAAAGTATAATGTACAGGAGCAAGATGCTACTAAACTTAAGTGCCTTGTGACAAAAATTACAGCCCAGCATTATGACGATGTCACAATAAATAGTATAAAAAAACAATGACTTAATGAGCATCTTTCTATTTATCAAAATTAAACAATGGAGTGATTAAACTATGATTTTTGTACAATGTGTGTAATGATTTATGTTGTGTGTTTCAAAGATTCAAAAAGATACCTTACAGTGCATAAATACTTTGTTTATATTATAGCTTGATTTTATCTTTCTATATCTGACAGTATATGTCCAAATTGTTTATCATTAGCACTAACAACAAATTAATTTGATTTTAAAAGTGGAAGTTCTTATCAATTCTTTTAAATTAAATTTCTTTTATTTAGCTTATATAACAAAATTTTAAAAATAAGAATAAAATTTTCTTACGGAAAGGCAGTTTCTCCAGTTCTTTGTCAATTATGTCTAAATCTCTTGAATTTTTTTCGTTTTGCTGACCTATCGATGAAACTCCTTTCTTGGCATAATCAAGTTTTGGCTTTAAGTCTATTATTATATTACAAAAAATACTTCATTAATACATTATTTACATTATCTTAACTGATGACAAATATTTAATAAGCTATTCATTTTTAAAAATCACTTAAAAAGCATCACAATTACTTTCTTTGTTAGTTAAATAATAATAACAATAATTTATTCTAGCTGAAATTACATGTACAAATAACAGATTTTTATAATAAGGCAGAAAATATTTTAAGTCTTTGCTGTTTTAGGTCTTTAAATCTCTTCTTAGTTAAAAATGGAATAATTCTAGCATGTAAATAAATTATTATTTAAAATATGGATAAATATAATAAATAAAATTAAATTTATTTAGATATATTTGGATCACCAGAGTTTGCTTTAAATTTGTACATGTATTGCCCAATGTCAGAATCTGCCAACCAATCGTATTGAATTCCTCTGTTAAAATTTACTATGTAAATGGACATTTTATTGATTAACTCTATTAACAACCCCTTTTTCTTTATTTTTTTATTTTCTGCCAGATAAAAAGTTAACACCTGCTTGTTTCTTGAACATCTAACAAGGTTTGGCAGTTCGACATTTGTCTTTGCTCAAAAAAAAATTACGTAAGACAACTTTCAGAAGAGTGAAACAGATAATTTAAAAATGACAATGATTGTTTTCAAATTATCTCTGTTTAATATAATGTAAGGAATAAATTTTATTTTTAATACCTTATTCAACACTCTTGCAACACTTTGACTGTACTCAGTGATGTAAAGTAGCTAATAGTTTTTCTTAAAACTGATATACAAAATTACTTTATGCAATTTGTTAAAATATTTGAATCCTATAAATTCTACATAGTTATTCATTCTATTATAATATAAAATGGTGTTGGTTATAAAATTTTTTTCAACTTTAGTCAAGCAATAGAACATCTCTAAAGGCATTAATTTGCCAGTCTTTTTTACATGTGATTTTGTATCTTCAAAAATTCATTGGTAATGACAACTTTGCTTACTTCATACTAAATATTACCAAAAGAAATTTCTCATTAAAAAAATAACCAAAGTTGCAAAAGTTACCAAGCTTAATATTTGTAGGTTAAACAGTACAGTATTTGGACATTTTAAATTTAAACCTTTTTAATAAGAGTTCACTAAAAGCTATTCTGGAAACATTGCATGGGAATTTTAATACAAGTCACTGTTATTGGTAGGTAGCAAAAATTCCCACAGGTTTTTCTGTTACCATATACGTCATATGATGTACAATTTTGCATTTTTTTATAAAACAGGACACGCTTTGGATTAAACTGATTGGTGTTTGTAATTTCTAGTTTTTTTTCTATATTCTTTCTATTGCCAGCAAATTCACCAGAAAGTATAAAAACTTTCACTTAAAACTTCTGATGTAACAAAGATTATAAATAAAAATTTCCTTAAGCAGCCAATAACTATACCATTTACCCTACTTTATAGACATTTTATTACTTTCTGTTTATTAAATATAGGATGAAACAATCGATTTTTTTGATGCTATGTACCAACAGACAATTGTTGTCTTGCTACAATTGGCTATGTTGAAATAAGTTGTTAATTTAATAAGAAAAATGAATAATACTACAGTAATACTAATAAAATACTTATTGAAAAATTACTTTAAAACTAACAGACACAAACTGTACACAGAACAGAAATGCCAAACTTTGGCAAAAAGAAAGCAATAATATGTTTAATACTATTTTTTGGGTGGTCATAAAAAGACAAAAACAAAATACAAATATTAAAATATGAAATCTTTTCGGTATCTCGGTCGGAGCTGTCGAGAGAACTTATGGACCCATAATGGTTTGTATCCATATAAATTTAAAAATTTTTTATTAACAAAGAAACATTTTACATATATACCTTTTTAGCCATTTGTTTTTGTTTTGAATAAATGATATAACTCTATCCCCAGGTCTCATATAAGCTCTCGATGGCTCTGATCTCAGTAGTCGAGTAAGTAGTTTGGATTTTTTAATATATTCCATTTAACCTTTGATAAGAAAATACAGTAGAACGTCAATTATCCGAATCAATTGGGGACTGGGGTTGTTTGGAAGATTGATGTTTCGGATAACCGATTATGTACGAAAAAATGTATTAATTTATCACTTCTTGACATTTTTCTCCATTGTGTGAAGCTTCGCATTGAATTTTCGTCGATGTTAAGCCTAATGAAGACCATTGTGTTGTTAAAAATTATACTTCAGAAGTTAATTTAGTATCAAAAACGTAAAATATTTGAGTAGCCCAAGACATAGCCAAAGCACTGGTGAAAATTTAAATTTGCCGACTGGAATTCTTTCAGATGATTGACTTTCGGATAATCGACGCTCTACTGTATTAACATTGTCTGCCAGTATTATTATTTTACTTGAAATATTACTAAAACTACTTTCAACAAATTTCATATTGTCGTCTTCAAGTATAGAATAAAGGTTCTATTATTTTATACCCAAAAATGACAATCTGAAATTTGTCAAAAGAAGCTGTTGTAATATTTCAAGTAAAATAATAATGCCGACAGACAGTGTTAATATTTTCTTAAATTATTTGGTGTCACAGGAAGCAATTTCAAGCATTTTAACCCTTGATAATTGTCATAAATTAAAACAATGTGTTTCATAATATAGATGAAAAGAATAACGTACATTTTTTGTCACACTAATAAGCAGTGGTGGCTTGTGGCTGTCTAATATGGGAATGTTGAGTAATGACTACTACTATACTTAATATATTGCATTCATAAAATATATATTTTTAACTTAAATAAAATAAAAAAGATGGCAAAGACTCTTGCACGACTTTCTGACTTTCTGAACAAGAGGTTTTGTTACTAGAAAGGAAGTCTGATAATTTTCAATTATATTATGATAAAAGCTTAAGTAGAGAAATTTATATTATTAATTAATTTTACATTTGAGCCTACTGTTAATTTAAAATACATAATGTTAAAATTATGTATGGTACTATCTGTTAGGACATTTCATTAATTAAAAAAATAATCTTTACATTATTATTTAAAGAAAAAGGCAAAAAAAGGCTTATTTTTGAGAATAAAGACAAATTTTTGAAAAATTGTGGATGCCAATAATGAGTAAAATTTTCATTGTCTAACTCCATTTGAGATATGACACATGACACTATCCTATCTCCCATCCCTTAAGTTCTAATCACCAAAATTTATATAGGGTGCATTGATGCTATTAAATAACTCTGCCAAATTTCAAAATTTTTGGTTTATTCAGTCCCAAGATATAATGCAAAATACTTGCCAATGACCATAAAATTTTGTAAAGATTTGTTTACATTTCTGGGCTCCTGGAATGTTAAAACTTCAAGAATGAAAAAATGGCAGTAAAAATTTGACCGATCATAATTTTTCTGTGGAAAAGTGGCTAATTTAAGATTCAGAATGTTGTCTTTTTCATGTTAACATTTACAGCTCAGAGTACTCAGAACCTTCACTTGACCCAGTAACTAATTCTGCCAACTCTCCTGCAACTGAATTGCTAAACAATGCTGTGCCAGCATTTCATTGTATCATTATGAGATGTAGCAGCTGGAGTGGGACTGTCTCCCACTCAAGAAAACAGTTCCCCTCAGAAACTTAGTTTTTATACATTAGGACATAATCCAAAATAGATGAGGAATTATTATAATAATAAATTGGAGCCCAAAAACCATGGGTACTTTATTGCTTGAGAATAAATTTAGGTAGTCATAACATTGTGATTGTTAACTTATAACTGAATTCAATACTATTTATCTTTCTCTGTAAAACCCATACCCATAATTTCTTCCAGAAGATTTAAATATTATAATAAGTTTCCACTCAGTCTTCTGTATACAGTTACAGCAAAACATTAAAAATCAGTTTTACAGCTCTATGATGGCTTTTCTTTTCCACTAGACTTATTACACCATGGTGTAATAAGTCTAGCGGAAAAGAAAAGCCATCATAGAGCTCGTAAAATTGAATACAAGATTAGACAAGAACAATGTTCCCTCTAATTTTTTTTGTAGATGAGCGGAACATATACTTCTCTGAGCAAGAAATTTTTCTGAGCATATATATATAAAATCTTATTTTTTCCTATAAAAATTAAAATAATTAATTATAAAGTAGAGATTAAAATTCATTTTAAAACATACTTTTATACAAAATGTTATCTTTTGTCAATGATTTAATGTATTTAATCGAAATATACGCAGCAATAATCATGTTGCAGAAAGAATGAGAAATAAGTAAACAACAATTCAAATCAGTGTGTGCATGCTCGCCTGCGCGGCACATAAATTCTCGTGCGCGGCAACAATTTGAGCAGTGTGCGGCCGCGCAGCTCAGAGGGAACTTTGGACAAGAAGCGTATTGCAGAACTCTTTAAAAATCAGATTAAACCACTGAAAAAGGATATTAATTTATCCTTTTCAGTGGTTTAATCTGATTAATTAATCCTTTCAATGATAACTTGATTATTGTGTTCTAACATTTACTCAAAACTTGTAATTTTTTAATTTTGAATCTTCAAGTGTTCCTACATTTCTTTGAAATACTGGCTTGAACTTAGAACATCTAAACTTGAATTACAGTATTTAGGATATAATTTGTCTACTAGGACTTATTATACTGGTGACTCAATTCTGCAATTCAAGAAAACACATCAAAAAATAAAGACTGTTTTTTTCTACCTGATATCATTGTGTTTCGGACCTGTCGGTCCCTTGTCAGCAGGTTTACGGCCAAAAATTACTACAAAACCTATAAAAATATACCTGACAATAAAATAAGTAACAAAATAAAACTTACAGATTTTTGTGTTTTAAATGCATGAACATTCAAAAGCATTAATAGCACAAATCCGATCCTACCTCTAAAATTCCTGTATACAATAATAAAAACTATAAGTTACAGTCATAAAAGCTGGTTGAAAATTTTCCTAAAACTTACTTCATTGTTTTTCTATCAGTACTTGGACAATATGTTATCATGAGATCATTCCTTTTATACCTCCAACCCTCATTCCCTCTGTCGATGATTCTGTTCCATGATTGGTGTTGTTCATTCTATTTCTTTGTCTTGCTATGTTCATATAATTGCCTTTAAAATTATTTCTTTCTTTTTTATAGTGCTCAAATCTATTTCGACAAAGAAATAGAATGAACAACAATTTAGGAAGAAAAATACACCAATCATGGAACAGAATCATCGACAGAGGGAAGAGGGTTGGAGGTATAAAAGGAATGATAACCTCGTGATAAGATACTGTCCAAGTACTGATAGAAAAACGATGAAGTAAGTTTTAGGAAAATTTTCAACCAGCTTTTATGTTTGTAACTTATAGTTTTTATTATTGTATACAGAAATTTTAGAGGTATGATCGGATTTGTGCTATTAATGATTTTGAATGTTCATGCATTTAAAAAACAAAAATCTGTAAGTTTTATTTTGTTACTTATTTTATTGTCAAGTATATTTTTATAGGTTTTGTAGTAATTTTATTTTTTGTTTTAGAAATTGTTGGTCGTAAACCTGCTGACGAGGGACCGATAGGTCCGAAACACAATGATATCAGGTAGAAAAAAAAAACAGTCTTTATTTTTCGATATGTTTTGTTGAATTGCAGAATTGAGTCACCAGTATAATAAGTCCTAGTAGGCAAATTATATACTAAACATATGATAAGGACACAAAGGCATATAATTTAATTGAATTACAGTGTATTTAGGGTTTAAATTTTTTGAAGTGCTAGTTTACATGTTTGAAAAATCTGGACAGGATGCTGTCCCAATTAATCCAGATTTTCAATGCTTCACAGAATTAACTGTCAAAGTACAAATAGTTAAGTAAAGGTGTATTTTAATAATCAGCTTATTAAAGATTTGTATGGTAAATCATCTAAAACAAATAATATGCCTCCATGTTTCTCAGGTTCTCTATGGATTTCTTCTAAATTATAATTTCACTAACATAGTTACATAATATCTATTCTTACATTTAATGAGCTTGTTAATTCTTTTAATTGCAGTCCTCTTATATTTGCAACATATACAGTATTTTTAATCTTAACTTTGCATTTTTTTAAACTAAAAGAATTATACATTATGACAAAGTAAATATTAATAATTAATTCTGAAATAGATAGTCCTATGACTAAAGATGCTAGAGAATAGTTGTCATTATTGTGAATAATTTATTTTGTTTTTTCATCAATGGTAACTTGAAAAAACAATTTATTATAAATTGTTAAATATTCATTAATGTAAACTACAAGATTATAAATAGAAAATATCAACTGTATACAAATGAATTGATATTTTTCATTTTTTTAAATTATATAAAATTTTCCTTATCAGTATTATTGAACTTAGTTCTACAACTAAAACTGCTTAATTTTCCCTCTAGAAGCCTTTAGTATATCTTTTTGTTCAGTTACTGGAACTAATAGCAAATACATTTTCACACCTTTTAATTTCTATAATTCAATTATCTGCTTTTTAGGTTCTAGTTCCTTTTACTTTCCAGATCTGTAAATTAGTTTGAAATTTTATAACTAACAATTACTGAATTTTTGTTTTCTTGTTAAATCCAGTCATCTGTTTCTAATTCTAATTCTAATTTAGCAAAGATAAATTAATGTTGGGAAATAAAGATCATAATTTCTCTTCTATGAAACATTTGATTACTTTTGGCATGATTTTTTCATCTATAGGTAATTTATCTGTTACCATTAGAATGTATGTCCACATTGAAAGAAAATCTAAATGAAATGCTTAATCTTGTTATTCCACCACAATCAAAACATTTTTTTACATCTAAATGGCCTTTATACTTTGTCTAATCATCATAAATTGCTTGCAAACCTAGTTTACAATAAATTTTACCACCACCATTGGATGTCTACAGCTGATTCTTTTGTCTTGTGATTAATAAAGAAACACAAAAGTTGAAATAATTTTATAGTTTCTTTTATCATCTAAGATTGCAAAATTTCTGAAGTCAATGCATAAGTAAAATGTTAAATTTAAATTTCTTTGTGGAGCTGTGGTTTGTTTCCTCAGATAATATATTGTACAATTACCTTTTGGCATCTTTTAACAATTCATTGAAACTGCTAAGTTTATATAACTACTGTAAAATTTTTTATTACTCGTGATATATAATAGAGAGAACTTGTTTTTATTCATCTTTTAATTTAAAATTGTATTTATAAACATTAATAAAAAGTTAAAATATATGACTAACATATTAAAAATATTTAAATAATAACCTTCTGCAACTTGTTGTTCCAATAATCTTGCTGTATTAAGGAGATCTTCACTAATATTTCTTGAATTTTCAGCTCTTTCTGCCACACCTTCGGACTAAAAAATTATTTGTTATTAACATTATTTTATTCAATGTCTGTCTGCTATAAGAAGTAAGGGAAAATTAGAGGACACTAAAGAGATCTATCAGAAGTAACTTTTACAAAAAATCTAAATGTGGACAAAAGTGATTTCCCTAGCAGCAAAAATTGAAACCGATATTTATAATAAATATTTTGGATAATAAACTAGAGGCTAAAAATACTCCTCCTGATAACTTTTGATGGTCAAGTAACATTGCATTATCACTTGGAACAATGATATGCAATGTTACTTGACCATCAAAGGATCAAATCAAATGCACAAAGGACAATGAATCAGAACTGGCAACACTCAAAGCATTAAACTGGTCCTTGAATTGAACAAAGGCACAAGAACATTGTTAATTCATTAGTGTTTCTGTTTTACCATCTTGTTTCTTGAATCTTAACATAAGGCAGGAGCAGAATTATTTTAAATGTAGTTATAGATTATTTCAGGTGTCAATTATCTATATTAGAAAACAAAGACATTTGTCATCTGTTTTTTTTTGTTATAGTATATAAATACTAGAGGGCTTCACTCTCTTATTCCCCAATACAGACAATTTGTAATGTGATGATTCAAGACACAACATCTTTGTTATGTTGCTGAGAAATTTAATAAAAACACATTTTCAGCCATCGTCAGGTAAAACAAATTTGAATATAAATAAATGGAACAAAATTTTAAATACAAATAATTATTTAAAATTTTGTTCCACCTGATGATGACCAATAGATTTGTTGTGTTTTTATTAAATTTCTCGGCAACATAAGGTGTTATGTCTTGAATTACATTTTGCTGAGTTAGTTTATTTGTATATTGTGATGATTCATTGACCCCTAGTGCAGTAATTTTTATTTTTTTGTATGTAACATATATATATCCTGAACATCTTGCTGCACATTATAATTATACATTTAGTGGAAGGGCTGTGCATGAAGTCTTGGCCCTATTGTCGATTGATTTTGAGATCTGCTGGTCTCTGACGGCAGCTGTCATTGTGTTGAATGGTTTGGAATACAGACAGATGTGGAAAGGTCATGGAACTCATGGTATATATTCAAACACATATACACACCATTTATCCCTATGTTGCAGTTTCTATTTATTTTATAACAGCTTAAAATCATCATAACACTTTTTTCCAAGTATTTTGTACACAAAACAGTAGATTAGTTAAGAATTTAAGTTAACAAGATTTTAATTATCTTTTGTATTAATAGTCATTTTTATATAATTATCCAGGATGTAAAATGCAGTTGTCATTTTTCAAAGACGTGGCTGATAGGCATCAATTGGTCAGAGGTATTTTATTTATTAAATCAACAACTAATAGATGTGTAAATGGTGAGTTTTACCTGCCTTTAAATTCCTTATACAGTCAAACCTCTTTCCAACATAATTTGTTCCTAAAACAAATATAAAATGGATTAATTTGTTTTTACCTTTTTAACTGTACTGTATTTCATGCATAGAAATGCCTACAAATGCAATATAATATAATAAATTTTTGTTATTTAATTTGACTTAAGCATCTTAATTGACATTCAAGCATTTGTGTTTAAACATGATTTAAATTCAACTGTGGTACATAGAAAAAAGGGAAGTAGAATTCATGTCATAACATCTAATGATGCAAGGTAATCTCGGCACCAATAATTTCTGAATAACTAGGGCTAGCAATTTTCTTTAATGTAGGAAGTATAGGGAGTAGACCATTTTTGTCTCTCCTAGTAGTTTTTTCGACAACTAAGTTATCGTTAGGCAACTGGTGCAATTTTGAGTTCAAAATTCTGTTTGAAAACTGAGGTTTGACTGTAATATATTATTTTACTTTAATGCTTAAAATTGAAGTTTTATTTTAAAAACTACAATATGAATTGCATGCAAGTTTTATTCTAATTTTTAAAGCAAATGAAATTGTATATTATATATAGATTTAGTGAGTGAAAATGCTGTATGAATTTGCATTACCTTAGTTACAATGTCTTCAAATCTTAATGTAAAATATATTTATCTATAGATTTTTGAAATTTATTTAAAAATTAGTTAAACTTATTAAATGCTACAGGGAATATTGGAGAACAAATATTAACTGCTTTTTGAAGTCTATATTATATACTACATCAAGTGCCTTTGCAAGGTACATCTTTCTTAAGCTCTTCATTCTTCATGTGTGTTTAATCCTCCATTCCAGACCATTGGTCAATTTTTTTACAATGCCTCCTATTGTTACTCACTTTCAAACTCAACCCACTGTCTACTAAATTTATATCCTTTCCATGTACTTAATAATGACTGTAATAATTTACTATTTTTAATGAACGTCTTTTTTAAACTTTCCAAAAATCCATGTCATCCAGTCGATGTTCTCATCCTAACTACTATTTCCTCCTCCTTCCACTTTTCTTTAAAAGTCCTCCTCATTATCTCTGTGTACTTATGTATACTATACATTCTCATGAAGTTCCTAACATCATTTTTCTTATTTCTGTAGTTAAGAAAAGCATTTTAAAGACAAGATTACTTATGACCCAAGAGATCCAAAAGCACTTGGAAATGTTAGGAGTATATAATAAAGACTCCAAAAAAAAACAGTTAAGATATATTTCGTTTAAAGTAAAAACAACTCCACTATCAATGTAATTAACACACATATGTAGTCAGTTTCCTGCTACAGATTGAAGAATTGCAATGAAATCTAAGCAATTAGTACTTGAGTAACAGTTTAATTACTGACTGTGTGATAGTACAAAGAGCATTAAATTTTTTGAAATTTGGAAAAGATGGCACAGAAACATTTCAAATGCTGATAACAGCCTTTAAGGATGCTACCAAATGTTGTTTGAAGGTATCATAGAGACACACAAGTAAAAAAGACATCATTGCTGCTACTCTCCAGTATCTCAGTTCATGCAACATCAATCGGCATGAACAAAATGAAATGTTCAAGTTCACCATTAGTTCTTGTATAGTGATTTGATGATTAACTTCTATTCAAGCAATGATGTCTTAATTACTTTTGTCTGTGGTGAATCATCTTTAGTCAATGTTTTGCCATTTTTAAATCTCCTACATCCCTGGTATACCTTTGTACAAGATAGCCTTTAAGAATGCAGTCATATTTGTAGCATTTGGAACATTTCTGTACTACTTTTTCCAACAAAATTTTGTGTTATTTCAAGTCTGTACATAAATTATATATCTAAATATATAAAATTGCTTGTCCTGACTGACTGAGTCACTGACTGATTCATCATCGCCCAGAGCAAACCGCTGAACCTAGAGGTGAAATTTGGTATACAGTTGGGTACGTCATGAAAACGCACACTAAGAAAGGATTTTTCGAAATTCCCTTGCGGGGGAGAGGATTAAGGCTTAACCGGAAAAATGGCTTCTACTGTGCTATTTTAGTTGCGATTTTTTGTTTTTATCTGCGTTTTAGTAGGATATGCCATGAGAATGCACACTAAGAAGGGATTTTTTGAAATTCCCCCGCAGGGGAGAGGGAGAGGATTTAGTCTTCATCGAGTACTTAGGTGTATTAAATTAATAACATTTCAGACATTGTTATAAATATTTTTATCTATTTCAATTTAAAAAACGTTTGAACTGTTTTAGATTCGAATTTGTTATTGCATATTGGTTCGATTATAGAACGATTGTAATGTTCCAGAAAATTGATCAAATTGAAAATAGTTTGATTATTGGCAATTCTCAGCGGTAGGTGTTATATAACAATTACTATGGTTATTGAAATATTGAATGTAAATGGGGTTTGCTTGCAAAACCTCCGCAGATGAAGTCGCGGGTAACAGCTAATATATATATATCTTCCTAATTGATAATGTTACAATTTATGGTTGGGATTTGAATAATTTTAAGAACACTAACTGAAGAGGGACGTATTGAATCTGAAATGCATTTTAAGTGTTCAGTATAATATGATCATAGAGAGCTGTACCTTTAATGATTAGATTTTGTAATTTACCCCTGTTCACTGGTGTGATAAGACCTCATTTAATGCTGATTTGATATGTGGTCTGCTCAAAATTTGCACCAATTATCGTGACATTGGTTCGTGTTCGGGAATAATTGTATTATATACGAATCAAATCAGCAAAAGGTGGCAATTCATTGTAGCACTGTACTTTCCTTAAATCTGTTTGTTTTGGAAAAAATATAACATCATGGATGCCATAGGCAATATCGACTTTGCTTGGCAAGAATTAACTGATAAATGCATGAATGGAGTGTGGAAGAAGTTATGGCTGAAAGTATTCAAAAATTCTTAACGAGATGAGCCTATCACTGTTGTTAGGTTGACCAAATTGTCAACCTAATCAGTACAGCAGGATATTGAGGAGTTACTGCAGGTTTCTAGTGAAGACCTTAAAGAACTGGCAGAACAAGGAATTCATGTAGAACTGGAAAATAGTGATTCTGAAAACAAAGAGCCTGTTACAGATTTTCTTAGTAAAAGTGAAACCATTGATCCAGATTTTGAAAGGAATGCAATCTATTGCTACTGACATTTACTTAAAGTTATGAAGCTTCATTTGTCTTTCCTTATCACGAAAAACAACAATTTCAGTACAGCCAGGAGCTTCTTCACAAAAAATGAACTTTATATTTCTCTGTGTTATTTAACATATATTATTATACAGATAATTGATTTTCTTTTTGAAACCGTGTCCTGTTTTATATTTGTGGCGTAGTAAACACTAGTATTGTGTTTTATTCCAAACACACATGGCAGATTTTCCATCAAATTCCTTTATTAGTTGAGTTGACTCAACTAATAAAGGAATTTGATGGAAAATCTGCCATGTGTCTTTGGAATAAAACACAATACTAGTGTTTACTACGCCACAATTATACAGATAACTTAAAATGACCTCGTTTATCACTAAAGTAAAATCTGTTTATTTTTGGTCACATGTTCCCCTTTCCCCCGCATTAAGTAGGTCTTACTGTAAGTATATATATATAAATTGATATAGACTTGAAATAAAATTTGTTATGTTAAAGTTATGCAGTCATTAATCAACTGTTATTCAAATACTAATGGACAAATTACTGCAAAACTTGAGCAGTCTATAGTAGGATGTTGATCCAAGTTCCCAAAGCTTTTGATCATAATGTGTAAGAAATAAATAAATAACCTTAATTCCAGCTTCATCAGCTGCTCTTAATGCATCCTTTGCAGCTTCCTCAGCATCATCGATGGCTAAAATAATATCTTGGTAAACAGTTGCAGCTTTCACTGCTCCTTCTGAACTATTTCTTGTGTCTGCCAATAAACTGAAATAGAAAATTTTCATATTAAAAGTATTCCTTCTAGTTTATCTGTAACTGTGTAATTTAACGTTCAAAATTCAAAACCTTTAACATTTCAAGTCTATGTAATGAATATTGTTATGTGAGGGCAGTCAACTTAGAAATGCTTTAGTATATATTAGATTTTTATATATATTACAAATGGCATGATAAAAACTGATTATCCCTGTGCATTTTAATTTATCAAATCTCAATCTTATCCTATTTATCTGCTTAAAAAGGGAATTGGCTATTATTAGAGTGTTTAAGTTTATTAATAAGCTAACCTTTTAATGTAGCAATGGACCAAACTGATTTGGAAATCAAAAAAGATAGTGTGATAATGGTGCCATATCCTATTTCACTAGCAAATAGCAATAAGATTAGTATTTCTTAATTTGTGCATGATTTACAAAAATTGCAATGTTTTTAGACATTTTTTACAGTTTGTTCTTATAATCAGCAAAACAATACAAATTTGACAATTAATTATTATAAATTTTTTAGTAGTAAATCAAGTTCAGTTATGAGCAAACTTTTTGTTTTATTACTAATTTTCAAACTGTGATCAACAAATTTACTCAAGACATTAATTGAAATTGTTCAGTTTTATTATAATCACATTTGTCAATAGTTCTATTATTAATACTTTCATTATGCAACTTTGATTCCATACAAGAATCTGTTTCACTTTACCAAAAGTCTGAATGATTATAATATGCATTTTGATCATTTTTTATAGCTATAAAACTCTAAATTATTTTAATGAAGTTACCTGTCCAAGAGTAAAGCTTGTTTAGCAAGATCTTCTGCATACAACTTTGCTTCCTCAACTTGTGGTCTTAATTCTTCTAATTCTATTTCTAAGTCTTCTAAATTGTTTGCTAATTCCCTTCCTGATATAAGCATGCTTTCAAAATCTCTTTCAAAATTCTATTTACAAGAGGGATAATCAATTATAAAAAAACTTAAATTTAATATTCTGTAAAAAATATAATAATTTACATCAAAGTTATTCTCTGCGTCATTCAATAACTTCTCTGCTTTTTCAAGAAGATCTAGTGCCTTATCAAGTAATTCTTCTATCATTTCTGATTTTTCTCCTATTTTATTCACTGTTTCCTAGAAAAAACAAAGAACCAAATACTTCATCAAAAAAGCCACTTTTATTATTGACAATGCTTAATGAATTTTTATTTCTATGCTATTGTAGAATTTAATGATTGAAAAAATTTCATATATAAATTTGAAGCCTTCTAAAGTTTAATTTAAAAAATCCAGCAATGCTTGATTGTCAAAACTTTCATAATCATTCATTCAACAGTACAAAAATATGTAATGACATATTATATTTGGAACACTATAATAAACTCTGCTTGCTAGCCAATGAATCTTTTATATTAAGATTTTCTTGTAATTATAAATGGCCATAAAATATACTTGCTTTAATTATTATTTGCTTATGACTTACCAATGTTGGTATATTTTTGATATACTCAGCATTTTTCCTATAATCGTCAGTAAGTTTATTGGCTTCGTTTGCATTGTCTATGTAATTAGTAACAAAATTTTCCAATTGTTTTACTCTTTCCTTCAGTTTATCCAAATCTGCTTTATTCAACAACATTGGAATTTGAAAATCCTTTACTTGTTCAAGCACTGAAAAAATTTAAATAAATGAAATTAATTTTCAAAAATATTCTTAGAAGCTTTTGAAGATTATGATACAAAGAATAAAATTTTATTACGCATATCAATTAGCTACTTCATGATGTAATCACTGTAAATTCAGGCACTTCTCATAGAATGGGATGAGTTCTTTTTCAAAGTTGTTGCCACCCAGGAGATAACTTCATAAATGTACTGTGAAATTTTGAAAAAACTACCCAGAGTCTTTCAAACAAAGGAATGTTGACATTAGGCATTGTGTTACTGCATGATAATGCAGAACCCCACACACAGCTGTTGCCACAAAAAATTACCTGCAACTTGTGGGGTTCCTACTCAAATTTTTGTTTTAAATTCCATGACTTCCCAACCCTCACGGTACAGCACATTGACAAAATAAAATAGCATTTGACTTTTTTTTTATAATTGCTGAATTATTAAAATTAAAAATAAAATGTTTTAATTTAATAAAATAGATTTATGGTGGTGGATTAATAACAGAATAAACTATATTTACTAAATTTCCTGAACTTTTAATATTAACCTTTTGATATTCCCTCATTATACTTAATATCTTGTTTTCTCCTGGGGAAATAAATCAGAAAATTAAAATTGATTATGTAACAAAACAATTTATTTTTTGAGAAATTTGTAAGAAACAGTGAATATATTTTTAAAATATTCATAATACTGCTGTTAAAATTCTGTATATTATATCTATATTTGGGACTTGGTTTGATCCTCTGGCATTTTGCAATGCTTTTGTCCCTGTTACATTTTATAATCCTTCACATAAACAATCAATATTAGTGCAGATTAATTGTATAAACATTACAAGGTCTGATTTTGAGTATTTTTTTAAACTGTAACAGTATGTATTTTATTATTCTGTTGTGTTGTAAGACATCTAAAATTGTAAATGTCATCAGCCAAAGTTATATTTTAATTTTTACATCAAAATTAACTCATTTGATATGGTTTGCAAAGTTTAAAGAACTGCTTATGAACTTGGTCTTTTAGGTATAGTATCAAAAGATAAAAAATAAAAATTGATGAATAGCACTTGTACATTCTTTACATTTCTATTATACATACCTCATACATTATTATTAACTACAAGTCTTTAGATTTGTGAAGAAAACCTGAAAAACTTCATGTGGCCAGCTCATTGGTGCAAACCTGCAACCAACTACCAGTGTTTTATCCACTAAGCACATAAGGTAACCAGAATTAATTACCAGGGTCCAGACCCTACTTGTGTTATTTTAAAATTTCAAGTACAGTAGATCCACCTATAAAACCGTTTCCTATAGTTATGATTCCTATAAAAATTGTGGCATTATCCGTAAACAACGGTAAAAATAACTCCTATAATACGTAAAACGTCATCGGGCAGCCGAACTACTTACCCGCCGTCCGTAGCGCCACGCTACGGAGAGATTTCTATCGTCTGGACAGTATTATATAAATTATATATAAATTAGGTACTGTACATATAATTATATATTAATTATATATAAATTAGGTACTGTATATATAATTATATATTAACTTAATTTATTGTAACTTTATTATAATTAAATATATATTTTTCGCCGTCTAGCGTCACGCTACGGCGAGTTAGGCGACCTATCGTCTGTCCAGTACTGTAATTTTATACATTTCTTGTGAAAGAAACATTTCTTATTTAACGGCCATAAAAATTATTTATATTAAGGATGTCTCCAAAGGTCAACGAAGTTTTCGCAGAAAAATAATATCAGAAATCGCGGCCGCGGTTTGATGCGCTGTTCCGCGACGAAACCAAGCTTTAGCAACGGGCGTAGTCGAACGGTACACACTCGGTAAGCAATCCTACAATTTTTTGTTTATAACGTAGTTTATACGGATTATTTTCAAAAAAATATACGTATTTTGGAAATGTTGAGTCGAATTAGTCTAGAATCGATTAATTTTATGAAAGAAAACCTTTCAAACAGCCGTAGTCCGTAAACTATGATTCCTACAAAATTGATTCATAAAGAACGGAACGTATCTACCGTCTTATAGGGGGATCTACTGTAATTTCAATGTTTTAGTGATAATATGAAAAATTACATACATTTATTAAATTCAAGTTAGTATTTAACTTTAACTAAATAATGTAAACACTCCTATTTTAACTAATTAAATTAAAAGTTAGACAAAATAGTTATGGTGGGAAAGTAATTTCAATAATACAAAAAATTTTCCTTTTTTAAAATATTTTTTGGTGTTTATCCTTAACTGAAATTTTTAGTGTCAAAATAAATTTACTATTTTTGGATGCCAAAAAGTCCATTATTTAGCACTGAATTCAATTTTATTTCTGTTAATCAACATATTGCATCAAGTTTATAATTGTATATGCTATCCTATGATGATGAAAACATTCTTTTAATATAAACTGATAAATATTTTAGTGTTGCATGATAACTTATGATAAATCATACATATAATTAAATAGGCTTAATTTGAATTTTTCAAACTATGTAATAATAATTATTAATTAGTTCATAAATTCTGGATTTATTTTGTGTGCAATAATTTTTGGGTCCTGAAAATATTCTGCATGTCTTTTCATAAGTTGCATTGTACCACATTACTTCTTGCTGCCTGCAGATGGCTACACTTGGTCTATCTTATTGTGAGCCAAGAAAATTATAAAGGCAGTCAAGGAGACAAATTCCCTGACTTTCCCAGTGCATAGGAACCCCTGAACCATCCACATAGCCCAGATCTTACTCCCGGATGAATGTCTGACAGACAGCGTAAACAATTGACTCAGCTCCCAAGTGGCAGCTTCTTTGATGAGGAGATATAGAAACTCAGCCCAAGCTACAATAAGTGCCTGAATTTACGGTGCGATTACATCAAGAAGTAGCCTCAACATGTAACAAATTTTTGTACATAATAAAATTTTCTTCCTTTCTCTAATTGCTCACTGGAGATTATTACTATGAGGGCTACTTGGAAATATCTTAATATTAAACCTATGACTTTCCTGAAAATTCTCTCTCATTAGGCTAACTTAGGAGTTTTGTTCTACAAGATTATCACTAATTATACGTAAAAAATATGAATTTAAGAATTATTGTATAAGAAAAAATAAAAAAATTTACATTCTCTTGCTAATTCTGATTCTTCTTCAGTAACTTTTCTCTGTTCCGAAAAATCTCTAGTTTTCAATTCATCCAATATTCTTTCCGCTTCTGTAATCAGAAGGTCTGTACTTGGTCCCACCGAACCAGTAAGACCCTCTGCCAACTCCTTCAATTCTTTAACTAATTCTAAAATTTAAATGAAATTAACCATTCAAATTTTTTTCATAACAGGAAATTATGCATCAAATAGTATTTATTTAATCTTACATTATTCTTTATGAAATAAATCTATATTTGGGACTTGGTTTGATCCTCTGGCATTTTGCAATGCTTTTGTCCCTGTTACATTTTATAATCCTTCACATAAACAATCAATATTAGTGCAGATTAATTGTATAAACATTACAAGGTCTGATTTTGAGTATTTTTTTAAACTGTAACAGTATNAACCATTCAAATTTTTTTCATAACAGGAAATTATGCATCAAATAGTATTTATTTAATCTTACATTATTCTTTATGAAATAAAAAAAAACAGCAACACTAATATAATTAAGGCTATTATAGCATGAACAAGCTAAAGTACCTGGTGTTATCCAGAGAATATAATAAAGATTACAAAATTGGATAATGACATATATAGAAAATCTAGCTGGGTGATCACTAAATGTGTGTTATTACAACACTACATGTGTAACTATACACATGGTTTGCTGAAGGAATGATAGTAACTTACAGAAATCTGGGAAGTAGGAGATGGAAGAGATTTGAACTCAGAATCCAAAATACATTTGTATGCATAAGTGAAATTAGCATGTCCATTCTTTCCAATCAGTTCCAGAAAAGCAGGGAATTGAGCATTAGTGAAAGTAGTAATACAGAAAGAAAAGGAATAATTTGATCTACATTTGATAAAGGACTTTTATAACAAGCTTAAAAGAACCTATTTGTTAGGAATGTGGCTGTCACATGTTAAAAAGATCTCCTGAAAGATAGAATGCGATGTACACTGACACTGTTTATTTTTTCTAGTTGCCTGTGACCCTCCAAATTATTGCTATTTTTCTAACATGTAGTGTGTCTGTAGCTCTTCGTAGAATAAAGACATATAGAAGTTTCATCTGTCTCTCATTTACATCCTTGCTGGTTCAGTTTATCCAACTTCACTAACAAAAGGTTATGGGCCCAGGAATGTCTTCCCAGTAACCCAGGACAGTAATAGTTTTTTGTTCGGTTTGATACTGGATTTATATGAGATTTGGTGGGATCCAAAAGACAATGTGTGAGATGGAAAATTTACATGGAGATATCTTCACAAAGAAAGGGTTTGTCAACTTCCAAAAACTGGATGGTTCATCCAATTTGTCATCATGGCAATTCAACGTGAAAATGCTCTTGATGAAGGAAGATCCGTGGGCAGCGATTGAGACGCCGATAACAGATTGAGATCGAAGGGCATTAGGATCGATAGCCCTGACAGTTGGGGACCATGTTAAAGTTGTACAAGTGCAAAGGAAGCATGGGATACAATAGCAAATCTCTACAAAGATAAGAGTATTCTGAAAAGGTTGCAAATAAAAAGGGAACTTTACTCCATGGATTTTAACACATGTTCAGGTATGGCTGCTTATATTAGCAAAATACAAACCCTCGTTGACCAGTTGAGGAAAATTGGTTGTATAATTGATGATCAGAAGCATACCGAATTATTATTGATGCGCTTACCGGAGGAATATGATAGTTTAGTGACCAATTTAGCGATTGCCACAGATGTAAAATTAACCTCAGTTGCAGTTAAAACTAAACTGTTGCAACTTGCTGCCAGAAAAAATGAATGCAGTAGTACTAATGAGTCAAAAGTGTTTAGTGCAACAAGAAACCGTTTCAATAGATGAGGCACTGGTATAAAACAAAAATATGACGATACAAGAATCTTTAACGGAAAATGCTTCAAGTGCAACAAATATGGACATAGATCATCGCAATGTTACAGTGAAACAAATCCGAATCAGAAAAATTGAATAATGCTATGTTCAATTGCAAGAAAAAAAGTGTTAACACACACAACTCTGACTGGATAATTGACAGTGGTAGTGCTCATCATTTAAGTTATGCTCGTGAGCTTTTCGTAAAGTTTAGACCTGCCAATCATGTGATATATGTGGCAAACGATTCAACTTTGAGAGTCGCAGGTGAAGGTGATATATCCTTGTGCTTAAATGCGAAAGGTGTACCTTTTAATTGTATACTAAAAGATGTTTGGTATGTGCCAAAAGCAACAGTCAATCTGCTATCAGTAAGCCATCTTACCAAGAGAGGCTTGAGTACTTATTTCTATGGAAGTATAAATGTGTCATCAAAAAGGGCAAACTTATGTATGCCACAGCAAAGAAGATAAATCATTTGTATTTACTGGATACGTATAAAAACATTGTTAATGTAGCTAGTCATCAGAGTAAATATTGGTTATGGCACAAACGAATGGGACATCCAAGTGAAGCTACAATGAAGCATATATTAAAGGAGAAACCAAACAGCATCGACTACAAAACAGTATCAAATGAAACTTGTGATGTGTGTATTAAAGGCAAAAGTCAATGCCAGCCGTTAACGGTCAAAGAAAAAAATCAAGAAACAAAAGGTCTGTTAGAGCTTGTACATAGTGACGTATGTGGCCCTATGGGAGTGACATCACTTGGAGGTGTGAAATATTTGCTGACCTTCATTGACGATTATTCTGGATGGATTCATGTATATCTCATAAAACACAAAAGCGAAGTACTTAATTGTTTTATAAACTATAAAAGATTGGTAGAAAAGCAAACAAATAAAAAGCTTGCAAACTGATAACGGCAGTGAATATGTGAGTAGCCAATTTAAAAGCTTTTTGAGTAAAAATGGAATAATTCACCAACTAACTTCCCCGTACTCACCGCAGCAGAACAGAAAATCTGAGCGGATGAATAGAACTTTGTTAGAAAAGGCCTGCTGCATGTTACTAGAAGCTAATATTTCACCAGAGTACTGGGGAGAAAGTATCTTAACAGCAGCTTACATCGTGAATCAAATTCCACAAAAGAATAGAAATATTCCATATGAGAAATGGTTTAACCGAAAAGTGAGTTAGAGACATCTTAGAGTATTTGGATGCACAGCTTATGTACACATCCATAAGATGCAACAAAAGCATAAGTTTCAAGCACGAGCACAAAAATGCATCTTTCTTGGTTACTCGTCCACCATGAAAGTTTACAGACTGTATGATCTGAGCAACAAGTCCATTGTGATATCAAGAGACGTAAATGTCTCTTGATATCACAATGGACTTGTTGCTCAAGAATTGATGAAATGTCAAGAAGATATACATTTGACAGGAAACTGATAGAAACTGTCCATGTATTCCCCATCTCTAATTCAGATGACCAGAAAAAGTTCAACAAAAGATGAACATCAAAGGTCAGCGGGGGCTGATTCCAATTGTGAGGACATGGTTGATGAATCTGAAGAGCATGAGCAAAATCAAGAGCAGAACCATTCATCTGTCCCTACAAGTGCTCGATTAAGAAGAAATGTTAGACCACCACAAAGATACGGAAATCCAATTGTTTATGCGGTAGGTCAAGTGCCTTTTTCATATATGCAGGCAATTAAGAATGCAAATTCTAAAGATTGGATTAATGCAATGAAAACTGAGTTAAAGGCAATTGAAGATCAAAAGGTATGGACATTATGTAAATTGCCCAGTAATAAGAGAGCAATAAAAACTAAATGGGTTTTTACAAAGAAGGAATTAGAAGGGAAAAGTAAATTCAAAGCTAGGTTAGTGGAGTAGATTTTGGGGAAACATATGCATTGACCACTAGGAGCACAACTATTAGGATGCTATTTGCATTAGCTGCAATGAAAAACCTAGAACTCAGGGACAGTTTGATTTCGAGACAGCTTTTCTTAATGGAGAGTTGCATGACAAAACCTATGTAATACAACCAAAGGTTTCAGCATAGAAGGGAAAGAAAACTGGGTTTATAAATTGCATAGAGCATTATACAGATTAAAACAATCAGGGCAATGTGTGGCAACAAACAATAAAAGAAAAATTGATGCAGATAAAATTGAAAAGGTCAAGCTCTGATGACTGTTTATATTATAGGGCTGAAGGTACAAAAACTTTATTACTGCTGATTCATGTAGATGATGATATTATAGCTCATAATAATGATAAATGGGTAGACGAAATTAAGCAGAGATTGATAGAATCATTCAAACTAAAAGACTTGGGTTCTCCAAAGTCATTGTTAGGGATAGAAATTAGAAAGGATAACAACTCAGGTACAATTACACTAAGCCAGCAGAAATACATTCATGAAATTTTAGAACGTTTTTTTATGGATAAATGTAATGCAGTGTCAACTCTGTGCGACTCTAGCTTAAAACTTAAGAAACCTGAGGTGATTGCCTGCTGAGTATTCTCGACATCAACTCAGAATCTATCGGATGTTTGATGTATGAGATAACCTCGTGAGCTGGTCAAGCTGTAAACAAACTACTGTTAGCCTTTCAACGTGCGAAGCAGAAAATGTATCAATTACTGACGCTAGTAAGGAAGCAATTTGGATTAACTCGCTATTAAGAGAATTGCTATCAAGCAAACTTAAAACAAAAACGATTTGTATATTTTTTTGATAATCAAGCAGCAATATGTTTGGCCAATGGGGAAGGCTCTCACAAAAGGGCAAAGCATATTGACGTAAAATTACATTTTATAAAAGACCTCGTCAGTGAAGGTAAAATAAAACTAAAACATATCTCGACTGAAAATATTGTCATTGTGTTGCAGATGTATTGACAAAGGCACTTGGTCCTATTAAACACAAGAAATGTTGTAAACTATTGGGTCTTAATATTCGATAATGTTAACAGTTGTTGTTGAAAGACCTTTGGCCACGCAACAGCCAAGTGGGGGATTGTTAGGAATGTGGCTGTCATGTGTTAAAAAGTTTATCTCCTGAAAGATAGAATGTGATGTATAGTGACACTGTTTATTTTTTCTAGTTGCCTGTGACCCTCTGAATTATTGCTATATTTCTAATATGTACTGTGTCTGTAGCTCTTTGTAGAATAAAGACATATAGAAGTTGCATCCATCTCTTGTTTACATCCTTGCTGGCTCAGTTTATCCAACTTCACCAACAAAAATTAATAACACTATTTACCAGACTAAATTAAAATAAGTTAATGAAAAGCAAAGGATCTCTTCTGATTCCTTCAATATTATATATGTTTTTTCCAATTCTAAGATATACAAAGATGGATACCCCATCCAATCAGTAGAGGAGGATAGAAGATCGTAATTAGCACAAAAGAAGCTTTAATGAATAACAAATTATTAAATGAATAGTTAAGTTCTCTTTACTTCAGATATAAAAGGAAAATGAAGGATTCTTGAAAGTCTGTGTCTGAATTATTTGGAGCTAAGACAGTTTGCAGGTACAAATCTACAAACAATTATATTAAAGTAGTCTACAATTTTTGATATGTGAAGGAATGGAAAAGAAAATAAGAATTAAAGTCAGACTATTATACCATTTGTATGTTCTTATAGCGATCAGAAGGAGATAATCTTATATATCTTAGGATGCAGCTATTATCATCACTGAAGAATAGAAATGATTTCATGAATGTTATAAATATGCATTAGATTCTTTAGGTTTGGGCATTAAGAAACCAATAACTTATACATCAACTGTTACGTTTAACGGATTTGATGTTTAAAATTATAACAGAATCAGGATATGATTGACACTGTTTCACTATTAAATAGATGCAATATAGTAGTCATTTCAGCATAAATTAAGACAAATTTACCTTCAGCTTTCCATGCAGCTTCGTGGATAAGTTTCTCTACTTCTAAAGCTGTTTTTCTTGTATTATCTGCTTCTGTTGCAAGTTTATGGGATTCATCTAAGCTTTCACTTGTCTGAAATATTTAATAGAAAAACATAACTTTTTTAATAGTTTGAATCAAAATTGCTTAAAATGGATTAAACAAAATTTCTTTTATAATGAACCAAATATTAAAATATATCTCACCTTTAGGTCAAGGACCTTTGCTGTAAGTTCAATGCTTTCACTCTCAGTTAACAACGGCGTCAAATCAATTTCAGAACGATTGAAAGCATTCACTTTGGGCTGAAATACAAAAATAATTTTACTAATTTACTGATGAAAGATTTCAGGAGAGTTAGGTACACCTAAACATACACAACACAAAGGTAACAGGGTAATGGTACAAAGATGGTGTTGACATCTGATGGCAGTGATATAGCATCATTTTTTGTGAGGGTGAAGAAATGGACAACCAAGAAATAAGAACAGGGAGAATTTCTCCACTTGTAGATTGTGGGGAAGCTGCAACAAGTTTAGGAGTGAATGTCTCTAGGAAATGGGGATCTGGGGGATCTGAGGGATCCCACATTGGAGAAAATTTTAACAAAGGAAAAGATATCATTTATTAACATTCATTCATTTTATCAATAAGTTCCACTCTCAGAGGAATTTTGGGATGTACTGATACTTGTCATTCATACATGTGTCCTGCAGGGTTGCTTGTAGTTAAGATTGAATTGGATTGGATAAACCAGTGCAATACTTGAGTGATCTGTTAGGGGGGTTCCTTCCTGGAAGATTTTCTATAGAAAACTAGCCCTTGTTTAGATGTTACACATATCAAGAAAACCCAAAAAAACTTCATATGGCCAGAATATTGGTGAGGCATAAACCTGCAATGGACTATCACATTTGATGGTTTTATTCACTCGGCCAATGATTGATGCTTGAGAACTTAAAAAAACTAAAATTGCAAAGACTCAAAGCTACATCAAGTAGCTCCACTGCCTAGTGTTTGATCCATTCTGCTATTGCCATTACAAGAAGTGAAACTTCCAAAGACTTATTAGCTAAACACTCAATTTTCAGAGGCCTATTTTTCTGAAACACTTGAGAAGGGGTCCTATTACTTGAATGAAGAGTCGTTTGTGTTCAGGGCTACATCTTAATCTGAATGTCTGGTCCTCTCCTTGTTAGTGAGTTTCCATATATTGTCTTCTTTTTATTTATCAAATTAAGTGCTTCTGTGAATGACTGATGGCCATCTATAACATGGTGCTCATTAGTTAGAAAAGTTGTTAGGCATTCTATCAATTTTGACAACATAATTGAAGAATTCAGGTTTGTTACAACTATTTTCATGAGTTTTTAAAAAATATATATAGAATTCAGAAGTAAAAAAACAAGATAATATTTAATATTTTGTTTTTTACTTCTGAATTCTACATATCTATTTCAATGTTATATAAGAATAAACACACTTTTTTGCAAAAAGTTTTCAGTAAATGTTTTGCTTTTATGAGAATTTCATCAAAGTTTTACAGTAGACCCCCCTATAATGCTTAGATACGTTCCACGCTAACCGAAAATTACGTTGTAGGAATGAGCCAATCGCAGCCCGATAGGTGGGAACTTTACGGACTAAGGCTGTTCGAAAGGTTTTCTTCTATAAAATTAACCGATTCTAGACTAATTCCACTCAACATTTCCAAAATACGTATAATTTTTTGGGAATAATCTGTATAAACTATGCTATAAACAAAAAATTGTAGGATTACTTACACCGTTCGACTACGCCGTTGCTTAAAGCTGGTTTTCATCGCGGAACAGCACGCGAAACGACGGCCGCAATTTCTGATAACGAATTTTTGGCGGAAAAATAACTTGACCTTTGGAGACATCATTAATATAAATAATTTTTATGGACGTTGAATAAGAAGTGTTTCTTTCACAAGAAATGTATAAAATTAGTGCTGTATTAGACTTACGGTACCTAATTTACATACTGTGCAGACGATAATAAACTCAACTTACTAGCCTAAAATCTCCGTAGCGTGTTGCCAGGCGGCAGAAAGCATATATATAATTATAATAAAGTTACAATAAATTAAGTTAATATATAATTATATATACAGTACCTAATTTATATATAATTAATATATAATTATATGTACAGTACCTAATTTATATATAATTTATATATAATACTAAACAGACGATAGCAAACTCAATTTAGCCGCTCCGTAGCGTGGCGCAGGGTCGGAGGAAAGTAGTTCGGCTGCTCATCCACTATTGGTCCAGACTCTATCAATCTTGTCGCGAAACGACGTTATAGGAGGTACGTTATACGAAAGTTGCTACAATTTTTTCGCTACGTTATAGGAATTGTCGTTATAGGAACGTACGTTATAGGGGGGTCGACTGTACATATTTGTGTACTTTATCCCTCAGTTTTACAAGAAGTTGGTTATAAATAATAATTTTTACTTACCCAAAGTTCATGAACACTTTTATTGACATTATTCAAACGTTGATAGGCAAAATAACTTGTAGAAATGTCTGTCATCTCCTCCCAAACGGGATCGATCACACTTTTTAAATAATCAGTATCGTCCAAAAGAGCATGAACACATGGGCCACATTCTAATTTAAAGAAAGAAATTTATATTGAAGTCAAATATTTGAAAACTTTTAATTAAAATTAAACTGAATAGTCAGTAATGTAAGCATATCACCCCAATTTTGACAGTTGATGCCAAAAAATATTTTATAAGAGAACTGCAGTCAACGATAAAGTGAAATAATTTAAATAATCTAAATGAATTGTATTCATTAGCTTTTTTACAAAATGCAAATGTTTTTCTTAAGTTACATCAAATTGATATAAATTAATCATTGGAAGCAAGTTGTGAAAATTGTAATAGAAATCATTAGTTTTTCTTTCTTATATTGATTTAAATATGGCTGGATGGCCAAAAAGAAACTGAACTCTATCCCTCATTACCTGGCTACTTCATTTGAGTATAAAAAAAAAAGGATTTCTTCTTCAAAGGTAGTCACTTAAACATCAAATTTATTTTAAACTCTGCTAAATAATTTCAGACACAGTAATGATTATTACTCACTGAAGGGAGTATGTTATTTGTTCTGGAATATTTAAACTGAAAAATAAAAAACATTCATTTAACTTCCAACTTACCATGACAACCAATTTTATCCACAAATGCCCAACGATAAGGACATCTGTCACATTTATCGCCAATGACTCCGGGAAGGCACTGACAAAGGCCCGTGTCGGGGTTACAGACAGCTCCCGCAGAATACTTTTCATCACAGTTACATGCTGAAAATTTATTATTCTGTTTAATTACTATTATAGTATTCATACTATATGAGTTGCCTAGTTACAAAATGTACTACACGACTTTGACCATAACAGAATTGAGGGATGTTTCTGAATCTATGGATTCAATTTTAATGATCATGCTGTTAGAAATGCCAGAGTGGATATTATACAAGTATCAATTTAAAACCTCATTTTGCATGAGAGGATTTTTTTTGTTTTTTTCTCAAAATATCAAGAAAAAACACCATATGCCATGTTTTGCAGCTAGGCCTCACATATATTCAAAACATTTAGAATTTACATATTAGCAATATTGTAAATTCCCATAACTATCAAACATTAAAACTTCTTTAAATATTTTTAGTACATAACTTGCAAACAGTCTTTTAATATACACGCTTTCATAAAATTATCATACTTTACAGGTCTTTTCAAGGCAATATAAAAATAATATTAATACAAAACTATAAGATCATGTAGTTAATTCTACTCTAGAAAAAGCAAAATTTTTCCAGTGTAAATTGATAAGCATATTTATATATGTAAGTTATTTAAAACTTTCATAGAAAATAATAATAATAATCTCGCTTACAGATGCAGCCTTCTGGTGAATATAACCAGTATCCGGGTTCGCAGATGCCACAGGTCATTCCAGTTACTCCCGGCTTGCAGTCACACTGTCCTGTTTCGAGATCACACTGCTGACTGTTCGATGCTATCTCGCAATTGCAAGGTGCACATCCCTGACATCTTGAAAATCCCCAATGATTTGGCTGAAATTTTTATTAATTACATAAGATTATTAAAGTAATAAACTAAATAAATTAACCTACACTATAGTACACTGTTTTTGTTACTTATAATTTATAGATTTCAGACTATATTTACAATGCTTAAAACATAATTTCATATATGAAGCATAGCCTGTATTGTAATCATTTGTTCCCACCTCAATAGGAAAATGAGGTATTATTATAAATCTACAATACATAAACTGAATGATCATCTACTACAAAAAAAAATCACACACATAGCACTACATAGACTGATGCAATTATCTAACCAATGGGTAACAGGATAATGCAAAAAATATGCAAATTAAAAAATAAATTTATATCTTCATTACAACTCCAGAAATCATTACAAATCTCCACTTTTCAGCAGCAGTATATATACTGATGTATAAGCAAGCAGGAGGTTAAAATGAATTCCAAAAAAGTTTTAAAAAAACAATTTACAATATACTTACTGCACATTGATCGCATTCATAGCCAATTACATTATGATGACAAACACATTCACCAGTGTTATGATTACAATAACTTGTACCACAAGAATCACAGTCACATGCTGAAAAGAAAAATATGGAATCAGTTAAAATTATCAGTTTTTTTATTGTAAATTTTAAATAATTCATATTCTACTTTTAATGTATAAATTTGTATATGTCAGTTTACGAACGTACGTTTGCAATCTTTTTGGCTTATTGCATCTCCGTAATATCCAGGAGCACAGAGTTCGCAGGCGGCACCAAAAGTATTATTTAGACATAATACGCATTCGCCGGTCACCGAATCACAACTTCCCGGAATATTAGTGTCAATGTTCCCGCTACACTGGCACGGAAGGCACTGGCTTCCACGAACTTCGGGTTGGCCGTAATATCCTGCGGCACATCTAACGTATACAAATAGTTTATTGTTTAAGTTTGGATTTGTTGCAAATATTTTAGACATAAAAAAATAATGTACTTACACTTCACATCGGGGTCCATAATAACCAGGTTTACAATTGCAACTAATTTCAAAGCCACTTGGTGAAACTTCACAACTTTCTGCAAAACTATAATTTTAAAAAATTTAAAATCTGATCATTGTATTACACCACATATTATGGTACAGTGGTGCCTTGCATTTCAAATTTAATTCATTCCAGGAAGCCATTCAAAGCATTTAAGCATCTTAAACATGGTCACCAGATCTGTCACATGTGTGTCGATTTCATGTTTCACAAAAAGTTCACTTTTTATCTCAATCATCGATACTGCAACCTCCCTCCTAGTGGATGCCATGGTTAATAAGTAGGGGAGTTATATATATAATCAAATACATCAAAAATAAAGCAAAGAAAGTGTAATGCAAGAATGTGATTAAAATAAAAACAAGGAATAACTTTGGCACACAACTTATGACATTTACACAGTGTATGTAGTTGAAACTTAGAAGCATCATTTGAACTCCAGATTAAATCTCTCTTGAATTTAACATTTAAAGTACAAGGTACCATTGTAAACCTTAAAAATATAATAACAAAACGTTTGCTTTACTGGAGTTCAATTTAATAACAGTTTTTCTCAAGTATTTTCAGGCAACAGCTACCAAGCTGATACATTTGTAAGTAGTTCTAACTTGTTCATTTATGAATTGTCATCTGGTTGTAATAAAATCTAAGATAATTGACACTCCACCTCCAACTAAGAAAATTATTTGACATGTGCCATGTCAAATAATTTTCTTAGTGATCAAGCAATTTTCTTAGTGAGGATAGCGTAGTTAGGGATAGGTTTCAATAGTCTTAGAATGTACTGTACAACAACCAAATGTTACATAAACAAGTTAGATGGCTGAGCTACTAAGCTGATTCATTTAGGTGTCTCTCAAGCAACAAGTACATTGTCAAGAAAGTGCTTGAGAAAAACTGTTATTAGAGTGAACTCCAACAAAGCAAACTTTTTGTCTCTGTGAACATCCAAATATCTACTTATCTACTTGTAATTTATTTTAAAAACTAGTTCAGATTTTAAAATAATTTTTTAAGAATGTAAAATTTTAAAATATTTACTTATTAGATTCATTAGGTTGAGGACAAGCACAGATCAAGCAATCATTTTTAGTTGCATCTCCATGATATCCGGGTGCACATAATTCACAATGGTCACCTGTAGTATGATGTCTACAGTTCTAAAATTAAAAATTCTTATTGAAATTCATATAAAATTTTAAAAAGCGTATTAATTACATTGGCCAACAAATTTTTTCACTGATTCTTAATAATTTGGGCATGCTGATTTCAAATCTGCAAATGGTTTTTTTCTCCATGCTGTAGTTTTCATACAATTCAAACTTTTACATTCCAGCACTTTATGTTATCATCATGGTATATGATAAAATTGCATAGATATGAAAATTGATTTTTTTTCAGAGCTGATCATGGCTACAAGGAGACATCCATATACAAACAACCCAGAGAGTTTCTGCTACATTTATGGATACTTCACCCTTATTTGACAAAGGCATAATATAACTTCTTTCGTGAGGAGCACTTATAAAGTGTACTTTGAACTTACTATTTGGGGACCAAGACAAGAAATGGGCCCCACATAGGGTGTTACAACTGCATGGAAATGCATGATTGGACGAAAGGGAAACGTAAGGGGTTACCTTTCGGAATTCCCGTGACCCGAAGATTACGGAAGAACACTACCAAGGGAGATGGGACAAGCATATGATGGCAGACTACTGCTGGAGCATTAAATGGGATTGTCCTGAAATATGTCACAAATGCAAGAACCCAAAACACAAATTTCTGTCTTGATCATATGCACTTGCACATAACATAGCCCCCAGTATAGGACCAAACTGGGGACTATGTTATGTGCAAGTGCAGTATAGGACCAAATGGTCCTATACTGGGGGCTGTGTAGCAATCAGTTGATGCCTGTCTGTATTTCCATTATTTTGCAACTTTATGTTTATTAATTAGCTAATTTTAAGAGATGGTTTATGACTATATGGGTTTCAGTTTGTATTACTAAAGACATTTACACTATGTTGCAATTTAATTTTTATAGCTCAGTTCATTTTGATAGTGTTTCATCAAATATCTATCCACATGCACAAAGAGGTCAATGAGTTAAAGTGTCAAAATTTCAATTTTTCATGTTTATCAATTGCAAAAAACCAGAGTTTTCTGGAAAAAAGAACCTCTGATCTGAATTTAGCACCCTCAAATTAGTTAAGAACAGGTGTTGGTCAGTGTTATTAAATTAAATAAAGTTAGCTATAACAACAAATACTTAATGAACCCATTACAAAATATAAGATTTAAAAAAAAGTCTATTGAAGTAGCAGATAGATTAGGATGATAACATGATTTAATATTTCTTAATTTGTGCTGTATAAATTATTTATTATGTTGTTTTATGAATAGTTTGTTTTTCCAATCACAAATCCAAGAAAATTTTAGTTAAGATAATATTCAAATTAAATCATCATCTGTAAGTTCCTCAGCATAAATATTGTTTTCTTTAAATAAAAGGTGCTTGTTATGTTAGTTTATTGATTTAATTTTAAATAGTTATAGAAAAACACAAAGAAAGGCTCTAATTAATTATTTAGTACGCTTAAAATTTTGATTCTTGAGGTAATCTTGTACAGTACATATATAAACAGGTGTAGATTATGAAAAGATCAAGACATTTTAAATGTTAATTCAGAAATATTAAGATTTTTAAGTCCTGATATCATTTTGAATAAACCATTCAATTTATCTTCTTGAAACCGTGTCGTGTTCTATTTCTATTGCTTATCCAACACAATGTAGTGCAACTTTAAAGGTGAAAGAAAGCCTAGTGATAGTTAAGTTGCACTACATTGTGTTGGATAAGCAATATAAACCATTCAAGTTATACTAATAGATTTGGTATTATTGGAAAGATCATGTTTCCAGACTGCAATCATAATCCTTAGCTTTTTGATTCATTCATTTTACACTATTATATCATGTTCATTTTGATAATTCAATGAAATCTGATTTAAAAGGGAGATGTTATCCAGAATAAAAGAATTTATATTAACAAAATGACATCCTCACTGGTGAATCGATATTTATTGGGCAAATTTCATAGTCTAAATTTAAACAAAATTTTATTTTTAATGATCTTATTTGTGACTGAAAGATCAAATATGTTCAATAATTAGAAACCAATGGAATCAGTATATACAATAAAGCACTAAAAATAAATATTTTCAGTTAAAAATAAGTACAAATGTACTCTTTCTACTTCCGACTTTGAGGATTCTACAGGTCAAAACCGGCAAATAAGTGACAAGAAATAAATTAAACTTTTATCATTACCATTGACTTTATTAGATTATTGACACATTCCAAATGCATTTCGCCTTTTTTTTCATTAGGCCTCTTCAGTGGATACATCAAGATATCATTTGCTGGTTATGCTTTATATCCAGCAGTTGTTCCCAGTATTCAAATTAAGTACATTTGTATATTCGGTGATGCAAAAATGTTCGACAATTTTTCTTTCTAAACAATTTTCTAATAAGATGTCAAACATTATCAGTATAATAAACAGTGAGATTGTCGGTGTTGTATACAGAATGTCATGTACATGTGGAAGCCCAAATTATTACATTGGAGAAACCGGAAGAAGATTGGAGTTGAGAGTAAAGGAACATGAGGCAGCCATTAGACTGAGAAGGACGGAATCAGCATGGTTTTTACATTGCAGAAAATTTAATTGTAATATAAATAGAAAAAATACTAAAATATTGTATAAAATAGAAAATTGTTTAGAAAGAAAAATTGTCGAACATTTTTGCATCACCAAATGTACTGTACTTAATTTGAATACTGCGATGGTTGCTGGATATAAAGTGTAACCAGCGACTGATATCTTGATGTATCCCCTGAAGAGGCCTAAGGGAAAAAATAGATGAAATGAATTTGGAATGTGTCAATAATCTAATAAAGTCAATGGTAATAATAAAAGTTTAATTTATTTGCTGGTATTGACCTGTACAATTCTCAAAGTCTGAAGTAGAGAGAGTATATTTTTACTTGTTTTTAGTGCTTTATCAAATATTTTGCATATGATAAACTTTTTGGATTCCTAACAAAGGTAAAAAAATAAAAAAAGGTGGGTTATTTTTTACCAAACTCTTTTATATAAATAATAATATATTAGTTTCCATTGGAAAACTTGTCTTTAAGAAAAGCAACTTCTTATACAGTCATTCCTTAACTATTAAGAATCATTTACTTATAATATAAATGAAGATTGTAGTATATTGGATGTATGTCTGTGTGTAGTATTAAACACTCAACAAAATGTGAAATAATATAATAACCTTAATTATTTATACCTGTTATTGTTATAATAAATTTTGGTGTGAAATTCTCAAAAATACTTTTCTCAATTTTTTCATTTTAAATGTAGTCTGATGTAATGTACCTTTTTTTTTATATACATAAAAAATGCAAAATTTTTGTGAAAATCATTGTGTAGAAGATTAAAATTTCTGTTATCACTAAATAATTTGTATTTTCTCCAAACAACTTACAAAACATTTCCCAGTTTTAACATCGCAGGATTCTGAATTTCCATTGCACTGGCATGGTACGCAAAATCCTAAGTAAGGACCCGTCTTAGATCGATAATAACCAGGAGCACATTCCTAAAAATAAATTATTCATTTAACGTCATTATCCTTATTAAAGAAATCTAAAGTAATAAAGCAACAATTTTTCAGGGATAAATACAAAAGAAGCAAACATTGTTTTATATTTATCATCAAATTATGTATACTTATATTAAAAAATTTCATCAATGAAAATAATAATATTTATTACAAAAGTCAACATTATCAAAGTTTAATTTGGAACATTATCACTTTCAAGAATCTTTTGTTTTGAAAAAAGATTCTTGATGATAGCCCTAATTTGTGGAATGAATTAGCCAACAATAGCTTATTTTTATTAGGAAAATTATTTATCTCTCATGCAAACAAAAAAGAGAAACATCCATTTATCAACATGTTCTTAGTCTGTCCAGCAGTATAATTGCTAAATGTAGTTTTCAGATTTAAATTTCATAAAACAGAGTAAGATGAAGATTTTCACTTATCAATCAATTAGAACTGAGAAATCATAAAAGAATCTTGGGATTTTTAAAAAGAAATGAGGTACTTATATTTCATAAACAAATATGAAGCCTTAAGAAAATTATTAGAACACCAAATTTAAAAATTTAGTTTCTCCAGATTAAAAAAAAAAATCATCATCTTCCATTCCTTCTGATATCCAGAGGGTGTACAGGTCAACATGGTAAAAAATATCAAACTTTTATACTATCCCCCACTTCTTTTTTCCAAACTCTTCTATCAACAAACAAATTTTTAGCCTGGATTAAAGTTAAACAGACTTTAGAGGTAAGGAATTTAATGCTATCAATCCACTTTTGTCTAGGTTGTTCCTTTGGATTTTACTTTTTGATTTTAGCTTTGAATACCTGTTTGACCAGTTGGTCTTCTCTCATTCTTTCCAAATGGCCAAACCATCTTAGATTAACCTCACTTACTCTCAAGTGAATATTTGAATATTTGTTAAGGTTTTTTATTATGATTTTGTCACTGTATCCATCTATTAACACTACTAATTTTTCTAAAACTCTCATTTCTGCTGATTCTAATTTTTGGTCAATTTCCTTATTTCTCACCCATAAGTCAATATAGGTTTAAAAACTGTGTTGTGCACAGATAGTTTTGTCTTATGACTTATTTCTTTCTTGTTCCAGATATATTTGATCAATTGGCTTAAAAAAACGTTAATATAAATATTTATCAACTGATCTTAAAGCCATTGAATTTCTGTACTTCTATTATCATAAAGAATACTTATTAGATGAAAGTTTTGAATATGATAGTCTGCTCTATATAGTTTCTATAAGTTGTTTTTTTAATCTTCTACTAATGAATGTAAGACCTTGTATTAAAATTATAAACATATTTTGAGTTAAATTAATCTGGTTTTTGCTCTAATGATGATATAACTTTTTTAAATTATAAAAAAACTAGTTTAAATATAGAATAAGAGCAACTAAATTGAATTTTAAAATATAAGATTATTGTTACTTTAACTAATATAAATATTATTCTAAAATATTTTCTTGATATCGTAGATTCTTAAAATTTACTGTCTTATGTGAAAAGAGAAAAATTGAACTTCTTCATTTAATATTTTTGAATTATTAGCATTCTGTTTTTGGAGTTTTAAATTTTAAATTTGAACATAAAAAATGAAGAATTCAAGAAAAAGCAAAATGCAGTTTCGTTTTTAAATACTTTATTTTTCATGTTCAAATTTAAAACTTCAGTTTGAAAATGGAATATTAAATGAAAAGAAGTTGAACTTCTTTATATAGAGCTGAGCGTGTTTTAAATTTTTACACACAAATAAGGAATCAGTTATTTCAGTGATAAATCAATACCATTAACAAATTTTCATATTACAAAGTAAATTCAACTGAACCAAACAGAGATTTATTCAAATCGGAGATATTTTATAATTTCTAACAATACCTTTCTTATTACCTTTAAAGATCATAAGACACTAAAGATTTAATTAAAATATCTACAAGACACAGATGCAATGATTGTAGGTACTCTACTGATTTAAAACCACAGGCAGTCACAAAGAAATTAAAATCAACCAAATTATACCACTATGTTTTGACTGTTTTTACTCTTAATTCCCCCCCTTTTTTTAACTCTTTCTGCTGTGGGCACTAAGATGGTTCTTTTAGCAAGCCCACAATGGGTCAGCTGGGTGGCAAGAAATGGTGACCGATGTATCCGGTCGGACTCTCCAAAAATTTTCCAGGAAATTTTCAACCCATCTGGATTTGATCCTGGATCCTCCAGAGCGATAGGCTGCCACCTCGACCATCTCCTAATTTTCCACTAAAATAAATAAGGAGTAGCAGCAGATACTAAAGAAAAATCTGATATTTACTAAGGTAAAAACTGAACCTATTTTATAGAGACATCAAGTGGCATGTTATCTGAACTCCCATTTCAAATTCTGATAAAACAATAAATTTAAAATCAAAAATGCTACCTCGCAAGACGTTCCTTGATAATTCGGAGGGCACTGACACTGTTCGACTCTCAAGGCTTTGGGTCCATCGGCAACGTAATTGTCGGACATAACGTCCATCACGACATTACTTAAGCTAACATTCAAACATGAAAAATTTTTCAACTTTAAACATAAAATATTAATAACTAATTTTAATACTTATAATTATCTTACGTGATAGTTATTGGTGGTTGAAAATGAGTACCACGAATAAGGAGAAGTTCCAAATTAACCAAAACCATCATCATTTGTTCTCTGCTTACTTCCCCTCCTGTTAGATGTTGAAATTCTCTCTACAAAAGTCAAGGAGATTTATCAGCAGTTTCTCATCTTAAAAAAACCTAGTCTAAACTTTTTATTATAGCTTTATGTATTGAAATATTTTATATATAAATATTGATTTTTATAATTATATCTAAAATTATTTTTTATTTCAAAATAAATAATTTCTTCTACAATTAAATCAATTTATAAATTAAGTTGTTTTATCAGCGGCATAATGAACTGCAATTCTGTATGAGAAACATGCCAAATTATTAAAATAATCAGGAGATAGATCTTTTTCATTAAAGGATTGTGTTTCTGCCATATACTTTGTAAAGAATCAAAATTATAAATTTGGTTCCAATACATAAAAATCATAAATTAGATCTTAGTAAGAATCAAGCCAAATACTTTACTTGATGTAATTATCTTAAATCATCTTAAAATTTATTACTTCAAAACCTTTAAATTTAAAAAGTTGGTTTATTGGTTTTTTTTACATACATTATAGATAATAGAAAATTTTCTCAGATCTGTCAACAAATTACACTAATTCTAATAATGCCAAAGCTGGTAACAGATCAAATTGAGTTAAAATATATAAAAATCAATAAAGATTTCAATAAAATAATAATTTTTACATTTTTTGTTATTTTTGATTAACTGCATTTGTATTAAATTTTAAAATAAACCTTAATTCTTTTGTGTTATGTATTAAGATCCAAGATTTTAAACATCAATAAATATTATCTCAGGAGATTTAATGTATGAAGAATATTTATAAAATTAATATTATTACAAAGCATAGAACAAGTAAAATGTTTGTATAGTATTGAATAATAAAGTAATATTGCTTAGAGAGCTTAAAATATTTTATTATTATTATTATTATTATTATAAAGCTATTTTAAATGCAAAAATAATTTTTTTTTTGTTGATGATCAGTAATCACATCAGTTCATTTCAATATTCATTAATGTATCAAAGTAGTAATTTAACAAATCCACCCTTCAACTAAAACATTGAACAGTAGGACAATCTTAAGCACTTTTGACAGCCCAGTTTCTTTAGACACATTATAGAACAAAAATATTAGCAACGAGCAGAAAGACCAAATCGCAGTGTGGTATGTTCATGTGCTAATATGGCCCTAATACTGTACTTCAATATATAAAAAAATAATGTTTATAGCATAATACAGTATGACCTGTTATAACTGAATGCATCAAGATAAGATTAATGATGTGACACGAAATGAAAATATTAATATAAGTTCAATTTCTTCAAATAAGTGAACTTCAATAAAGCAGATTTTTGATAAGAACTAAAATCTAACTCATTGGAGCTTGCTTATATTAAGTTCAGCCATAAAAACATGATTCATTTTTGACAATAAACTTCTTTTTTACATGTTAAATTAATTTGTATTATTACTAAATAGGATAAAAATACTAGTATTATCTCAAAACTAGACAATAAGCACATTTTTAAATGTGAATATAATTAATCAATTCTGATCAAAGCTCTCCATAAAAAAATTTTCTTCATAATTAAAACATATATTAATATATAAGATATCATATCATAAGTGAATTTTCAAAACTTATAAAATATTACATAAAAACTAGACTAATGCTAGACTTACCTCTATAATATTAACTTGAAATTCAAAAGCATCTTCACTAGGTTGTTCCACGTGATTATGAACAATAGTAATATTATTGCCCTATTTTCAAATATATGTCAAATTCAATTATATAATTAAGGAGATCTAGAAATACATTTCCAAATAAATATTGAATGTCCCTACCATTAAAATAATGTCTGGACCAATTATGCTCCCTATGATCGATTCGTGATCCTCAGTACTTAATGTGAATTGTAGATTTCCACCATATGATTTTATCTGAAATATGAAATGAAATAAGTATCAATTCAGTTATAATAATTTAACTAATAAATATTTTTCAAGTTAACTAATCTAAGACTTTCATTATACCTCCATTTTGGGAAAAATTCAATTAATACACAGATGAATAAAGAAAAGAAAGTACAGTGGTGCCTCGTATAATGTACTTAATCCATTCCAGGTGCATGTCCGTTAAGTGAAAAGTCCGTTATACGAAACGCATTTTCCCATAGAAATACAATGTTAAAACATATAATTCGTTCCACAGCATAAAATAACCATAACTGTACAATAAAAAAATAAATGAAAATGGAGCAGTCACCAATTATGCCGGGTAGGCAGATTTTGTGAGGAGGAGGTGGAGGAACACTTTCTTCACACATTCGTACAGATACAGACTTTTTACACATTGCAGCAGGTCTCTTTTTATTGTTTTTTAATCGGAGTCAGATTTAGGAGAGGCTACTGGAGCTTGCAGGGTCAACTCCTCTTGTTCCATCCTTTGTTTTTTGCCTGCTGGCTCCTTGAAAAACATGTCCAAGGTGGTCTGTTTCTCTCTCTTCTTCGACACCTGTTGGAAATGACGGGCAAGGGTGTCATTGTAGAGATCATTGATCCTGTTGGCCTCAGCTCTGTTTGGATAATGAGTGTTGGTAAACTTTTGAACCTCTCCCCATTTGACAAGGAAGTTTTTGTCAACTTTCACTCCTTCTGATAATTTCTTGCTTTGTTTCAATTTAAATCACCTTTCTGTTTTTTTAGAAGCCATGATTTGCACAACACTTGAATAAATGTAAATACCCTGCACTGAGGTGATGTACGTAATAAACAAGGGAGCAAGCCAAATCCCAACGGGAGCTCTGTACTTCAGATATACTAATAATATATTCTAATAATACTAATATATTATAAAAACAGCAGATTGTCATTGGCAACGGTAAAAAAGTGAAAACATCATTCGCACTTGTTTGCAGAAAGTTTGTTGTTCGCCTCACATAACTGCCCAATGGAAGTCCATTGTTCGCAGTGTCCGTTATTCAAGGCATACGTTATACGAGGCACCACTGTACCTGTATTGGTTTTTTACTTAAAATGTAATATTATGATTGTGGCATTAACACCAGAGGAAGCTTTACCTGTTTTACATTATTTTGTGGAGGCAGTAACCTCAAAAGGAAGGTTGTCTCCGAAAGTTTTTGTGAATTGTTAAGGACTGCTGATGGTGTGAATAGTGAAAAAGAAGGACAAAATGCAAAGTTTTTTCTTTAATAAAAATATAAATATGACTTTTACAAAGAAAAAAAGCTTTTATGATTTTAATAAAGTAAAAATCTAGCTAACCTTCACTAATTCAAAATCTGTGAACTACTATTAATGTGTACTTTTTAAAATAATGCATTTGTCAATTATATGCCCACAATTACTGAATTATTTGTAATTTAAAATAACTGCTATATAATAGGCCAAAATAATTCAGTAGTTGTTGCCGTATTATATATGTATATCAGGTTTGTAGATGTTGGTTTATGCATTTGTCGATTCTAATCTTGGCTTTAACAAGTCAAGACATGAGCGAGGAACACTTAGAAGGTAATTTTTGTTTCCCTTTCTTTTTTAAGTCCAAATTAGTAAATGTCTGTGACAAGGATGATTTTATTGCTACTTTTGCATCACAAAAGTTTATTAAAGTGTGCTCTCTGGATTACACAATACTGATTTGAGTAAAAACTTTGCCAATTCAGACTAGGTTTCCCCAATTAGTCCAAATTAGTGAAGTTTTACTGTATATTATATATAATATATTAATATATTATAGTATTACAAATTAAGCTGTATGGTAAATTGACAATGCCACATGTTTATTTTTCTCGCAATCTTAGCTTCATTGCTACACTTCTTACATCTTTAATTAGCTTTTCCTATGTTATTGTGTACTTTATATGAATTGTTGAAAGGAAATATAAGGAGAGATGATTGAATGATATCATGATTTAAAACAAGAAATTCCTTTTCTTTTGGAACCTGATCTCTTCTTGTCATAATTTACATTTAAAAAAAAAATGGAATTTGTTCAAAGTGAGAAAGATTTCAGCGAGGGATCTTAATTTATTCTTCCAATTTCATGTAAAAAAACTAACAGAACTTTTTATTGTATGGGTTAAAATTTTTATTTCTTTATATTTTATATGGTTATAAGTAGAAATCTTTAAGTGAAGTTCACTTTTCCTATCATATAAATATTGCTTTTCTTACTTGTTATGTATTAATTAAAATAAAATTCAAATTAAAAATTAAGGTGCATTTTAAAAATGTTTATTCTACAATAATCTTATTTTAGCATTCACAAAATAATAAATATTTATTTATTTAGATACATTAAATCTACTAATATCATTTAACAAAAAGAAAATCTTACCTTGTTTCCGAGATAAGTAAAAGGTGCCGAAAAATAAAATAAAGTTCCCGTTGGAAGATCATCTAATCTCGCCGTTACACTAAATGATCTTTCTTCAATTTCAACATCTGTATCTTCCATAATCAAATGATTATTACCTCTTACAACGGCACTTTTCCAATTTCTGTAATCACTTATCTAAAATATAGATTATTTAAATCATTTCAATGTTTTTAACATACATTTTGATTTACTCATAATATACCTGAGTAAATAGGAAATATGAACTATAGCATCTGTCGGTAGTTCCAAAACAGAAGCATTTGCTACATCCTGCTGGATTGTTTTCTTCTAGATAAAATGTTCCCGGTCTACACTGATCACAGAAATCTCCAAATACATTTTCCTGAAATAATTTATAAATTAATTTGATTTCATTTACAATTTTATGAAGTAATATTTCTTATACATAAGTAAGTTGTTTCAACTACCAAATTCAGAATGTTAATAATAACACAGACAATAATTACACAAACATTTATGTTATTTTGTGAAAATATTGATAATATAACTGTCAGTATTATACCCTTCCTACAATTGAACTTCAAATATCATAAAAACATCTAGCAAAGAAATATAACATGGCTAAAAAAATTAGTTGCATTAATTATCTCATCTTTTTTACTATAATTGGCTTTATTTGAACAATCATCTAGTAAAGTCTTATCACCTAACAAAATTGTACTGAATGTTATATAATTTTTAATATCTTTAAATTATGATTGCTAAATGATAATCTATAGAAACTAAGAAAAATTTTATTCATCAAAAATCATAGATAACCACTTATTTTGTCAAAAGTAATCATGTAATGAAAAGCGTGACAACTTGTTTCATTGCTTATCATCAATTTCGCTGAAAGGCACTAGCACAGGGTTACTGGGTATACCTCCTTTGATTTCCACAGTGGTTAATAAAATTTATAGAAACTAATTAAAATTTAATTGTGAGATTAGTAAATAATATAAACCAGCATTTCTCAAGCTTTTCTGGCCCGCAGACCGGTGGTGTTTTTTCAAAAAACTTTACTATATATTAAAGAATTACTACAGAAGTAAATTGTAAAATTATTATTATCATTTACTTATTATCATCATTTGTACATCATAAAATTTTTATTTATTAAATTATCATTATTTTTTTTAAAAAGAAAATTTTTAATGCAGAGCGGTAAAAATTCTCCATGGACCAGCGGTTGAGAAACACTGATATAAACAACACCTTAATATTTCCAGCAATAAATTATTTAATAAAATAATAACGTTTTTGACTATTTTTAATAGCCTTCTTCAGTTAATCAAACTCAAAAACAAAAGAATGCTAAAATAGAATGCAAGCAATACAAAAACTTTAAAAATTCAAATTCCAACGTAAAAAAAACGAAAACTTGCAAAGGTGATTTATACAGGAATAATGATAAACATAACCAAATTAATGCTGCCATAATAAAATATATGTCTATTACAAGATATTAATTACTACAAAAAATTAATTATGTGCTATGGTAAAATGATTTCCATGCAGTGGATAAACCATCTGCATCCCTACGGTTAAAACATCCCGTGCCAATGTGGGTCTTGTAGATTTCCAACTTTTCCAGATGTTTCAGCACTTGTTTGTTGCTCGTGGCCCTAATGATGGATGCTTTGGCCCAATGAACACCGACATCCTGATGCTTAGCAAAATCCGCAAGGACAGTACTATCTATGTTCTTAGTGATGGAATATTTATGCTCTTTAAGCCTCTGCTTTAATTGTCACATAGTTGCACCAACATATACAAAATACAAGTTACAGCGATGATCCTTTAAAGGTATAGAATACATCCCTGTACTAGTATTTCGGTTTTCTTTCTTCTTATCATTTCTTAATATTCTATATATCATAGGATTATGCTGATAAATCATTCTTATGTTATTCTTGTTTGAAATTTTTTTAATCATTGTGTGGAGGAAAGGAATATAACTATAGATTATCATTTACAGCTAAAATTTTATATATAAGTCAAAACAATTGGCATATTTATAATATTAGTTTTTATGTAATTATATCAGCTATTATATCGCGATTATTTTAAATTAATTACCAACTAATTTAATTAGTATAATAGCCAGATATAATCCAGTAGTTGTTTGCTTATTACATTGGATTTGTAGATGTTGGTTTATGTGTATTAGTTTTTAACTGGAATTCTGCATGAAAAGATTTCTTCTAATGAATAATTTTATCAATTGTTGTTGTTGTCGAAACCATGTTGTTATTTATGTTTGTATACTGGTACAATGAAGTGACCTTCTTTATCAACACTTCGCAAGTTTTCACTTCATTGTACCAGTATACAAACAAAAATTTTATCAATATTTAAAAAAAAAAATATTAGTCCGAACAATAATTTTGGATTATTATTCTAAAATCATTGTTTACTGTTTACATTTTTGTTCTTCATATCACTTGAAACTTTTGAATTTATATTAATGGATATTAATTCTTTTCTTTGCTGTGTTCAATCTTTCGTAAATTTTTAAAGGAAGATATTTACTTTTTTATGAATAAATAAAAATAGATAAATTAGAAAAACAATAAAACAAAAATAAGATAAATTTTTAGAAAATGATTTTACCTTACAGTGACATCTTGAGTTATCTTGGTCACAGATTTCTTCCGTAGTTCCTCGTAAATCACAACTGCACAGATGACACAAGGGAAATGCCCAATAACCTGATTTGCATCTGTCGCATGCTCTTCCAACAATATTAGATTTACATCTAAAAAACATGATTTGTTATGAAATATAAAACAAAAAGTTCTTGAAAATTTTTTAAAAGATTGACATTTCTATTAAAGCAATATGTTCTGTCGTTACTTACTCACACTGACCACTATCGAGATCGCATTGAAGATTGCCTCTATCCACTCCGAGAGGATTACAGCTACATTCCTGAATGAATGTTTGTAACAAGATTTAATATTAAAATAACAAATAAATAATGATAATTATTTAAATTTATTTACATTTAAATATTAATGTCTAATGTACAATATATAATCTTAATTAGTCCATTTTAGTATATTAATTGATATGTTTGATCACAATAAAGTCAATATAAATATTGCTTAAAATATACATCATCTACATATCCTTCAGTATTATACAGTAAATTCATATTACAACATTCTGTTTAGTGTTTATGGCAACAAAATGCTACCTCATTAATAAAATAATGAACAAAATGATTAGATAAATGTAGTTATCTTATACATATTTGTAATATTAAGTCAATTATGATAAAATTATTAAGACAATTAAAATAACATTTAACAATTGTATGTATTGTTTTACTGTAAGGAAAATATTCTCCTTAACATTTAGAAGAATCAACAAAAAACTTAAATTGTTACTAATTTTCATTATGAATGGCTTATAACAAATTTTATCTTTGGTTAATCTAAACAATAAAATTATTATTCTTAAATGTAAATCAAGCAATTTNCTTTTACTAGATATTAAAGAATTACTACAGAAGTAAATTGTAAAATTATTATCATCATTTACTTATTATCATCATTTATACATCATAAAATTTTTATTTATTAAATTATCATTATTTTTTTTAAAAAGAAAATTTTTAATGCAGAGCGGTAAAAATTCTCCATGGACCAGCGGTTGAGAAACACTGATATAAACAACACCTTAATATTTCCAGCAATAAATTATTTAATAAAATAAAAACGTTTTTGACTATTTTTAATAGCCTTCTTCAGTTAATCAAACTCAAAAACAAAAGAATGCTAAAATAGAATGCAAGCAATACAAAAACTTTAAAAATTCAAATTCCAACGTAAAAAAAACGAAAACTTGCAAAGGTGATTTATACAGGAATAATGATAAACATAACCAAATTAATGCTGCCATAATAAAATATATGTCTATTACAAGATATTAATTACTACAAAAAATTAATTATGTGCTATGGTAAAATGATTTCCATGCAGTGGATAAACCATCTGCATCCCTACGGTTAAAACATCCCGTGCCAATGTGGGTCTTGTAGATTTCCAACTTTTCCAGATGTTTCAGCACTTGTTTGTTGCTCGTGGCCCTAATGATGGATGCTTTGGCCCAATGAACACCGACATCCTGATGCTTAGCAAAATCCGCAAGGACAGTACTATCTATGTTCTTAGTGATGGAATATTTATGCTCTTTAAGCCTCTGCTTTAATTGTCACATAGTTGCACCAACATATACAAAATACAAGTTACAGCGATGATCCTTTAAAGGTATAGAATACATCCCTGTACTAGTATTTCGGTTTTCTTCCTTCTTATCATTTCTTAATATTCTATATATCATAGGATTATGCTGATAAATCATTCTTATGTTATTCTTGTTTGAAATTTTTTTAATCATTGTGTGGAGGAAAGGAATATAACTATAGATTATCATTTACAGCTAAAATTTTATATATAAGTCAAAACAATTGGCATATTTATAATATTAGTTTTTATGTAATTATATCAGCTATTATATCGCGATTATTTTAAATTAATTACCAACTAATTTAATTAGTATAATAGCCAGATATAATCCAGTAGTTGTTTGCTTATTACATTGGATTTGTAGATGTTGGTTTATGTGTATTAGTTTTTAACTGGAATTCTGCATGAAAAGATTTCTTCTAATGAATAATTTTATCAATTGTTGTTGTTGTCGAAACCATGTTGTTATTTATGTTTGTATACTGGTACAATGAAGTGACCTTCTTTATCAACACTTCGCAAGTTTTCACTTCATTGTACCAGTATACAAACAAAAATTTTATCAATATTTAAAAAAAAAAATATTAGTCCGAACAATAATTTTGGATTATTATTCTAAAATCATTGTTTACTGTTTACATTTTTGTTCTTCATATCACTTGAAACTTTTGAATTTATATTAATGGATATTAATTCTTTTCTTTGCTGTGTTCAATCTTTCGTAAATTTTTAAAGGAAGATATTTACTTTTTTATGAATAAATAAAAATAGATAAATTAGAAAAACAATAAAACAAAAATAAGATAAATTTTTAGAAAATGATTTTACCTTACAGTGACATCTTGAGTTATCTTGGTCACAGATTTCTTCCGTAGTTCCTCGTAAATCACAACTGCACAGATGACACAAGGGAAATGCCCAATAACCTGATTTGCATCTGTCGCATGCTCTTCCAACAATATTAGATTTACATCTAAAAAACATGATTTGTTACGAAATATAAAACAAAAAGTTCTTGAAAATTTTTTAAAAGATTGACATTTCTATTAAAGCAATATGTTCTGTCGTTACTTACTCACACTGACCACTATCGAGATCGCATTGAAGATTGCCTCTATCCACTCCGAGAGGATTACAGCTACATTCCTGAATGAATGTTTGTAACAAGATTTAATATTAAAATAACAAATAAATAATGATAATTATTTAAATTTATTTACATTTAAATATTAATGTCTAATGTACAATATATAATCTTAATTAGTCCATTTTAGTATATTAATTGATATGTTTGATCACAATAAAGTCAATATAAATATTGCTTAAAATATACATCATCTACATATCCTTCAGTATTATACAGTAAATTCATATTACAACATTCTGTTTAGTGTTTATGGCAACAAAATGCTACCTCATTAATAAAATAATGAACAAAATGATTAGATAAATGTAGTTATCTTATACATATTTGTAATATTAAGTCAATTATGATAAAATTATTAAGACAATTAAAATAACATTTAACAATTGTATGTATTGTTTTACTGTAAGGAAAATATTCTCCTTAACATTTAGAAGAATCAACAAAAAACTTAAATTGTTACTAATTTTCATTATGAATGGCTTATAACAAATTTTATCTTTGGTTAATCTAAACAATAAAATTATTATTCTTAAATGTAAATCAAGCAATTTTTATATTGTAAAAGAGATATTGTTTAAGTTGTAATTCCTTGTCTATTAATGTCTGGATGGATGGATGGGATGGGAGAAGCAGCGCCCCTTCCGAATGAGGATTTAATGTAATAGCAAAATTTACAAAGTGTGAGGATTGGAAAGCAGTTGTGGGGATATTATGTGGCACCCTGTTGTATCTATGGTGTACTGAAAATAGTAGATCAGAAGATCTATATATTTCTAGATCTAAAAAGGAGATTCTGGTATTTTGTTCTTCCTCCACTGTAAAGTTGATCGAAGGATATATAGAAGCTAACATTTGAATAAAATCATCTAATTCATCTACGGAGCCATTCCATGCAAGCAATATGTCATCTACATATTGTAAATACATGATTGGATAGTGGATAGCCAAAGGGGCATTGAAAATACAATACTCTATAATCCTCATGATGAGCTCTGCCAAAATGGGTGAGGGGGGAATCCATTGGCACTCCATGGATCTGTTTGTATATTTTGCCATTAAATTGAAAGTAATTGTTTTCTGTGATGAGAAAAGAGCCTTACGCAAATGTAACACATAGTGTTGCTTGCCCAAGATTGTTCTTTGAAGCAAAGACACACAAACCTGCATGGCCATTAAGACCATTGGTTAAGAAACGCTCCCAACCCACATACTACCTAGAGACAGCTCTAGAAAAATAAATTAAGCTTTAGTTTCTCCCTCCACCTTTGCAACCACAGCTGCAATGGATGCTAAATATAACATCTTTGCTAAATTAAAGAACCTTCCCGCTTGTATCGATTGTATAAAATTGATGTAATTTCTTTATATCCATTGGTGCCACATTTTGAAGCCATCATGCTTGTAAATGCACTGCTATTTAACTCTGGATACCCAGTATCACATGTGTTACATTTGCGTAAGGCTCTTTTCTCATCACAGAAAACAATTACTTTCAACTTAATGGCAAAATATACAAACAGATCCATGGAGTGCCAATGGGTTCCCCCTCACCCATTTTGGCAGATCTCATCATGAGGATTATAGAGTATTGTATTTTCAATGCCCCTTTGGCTATCCACTATCCAATCATGTATTTACAATATGTAGATGACATATTGCTTGCATGGAATGGCTCCGTAGATGAATTAGATGATTTTATTCAAATGTTAGCTTCTATATATCCTTCGATCAACTTTACAGTGGAGGAAGAACAAAATACCAGAATCTCCTTTTTAGATCTAGAAATATATAGATCTTCTGATCTACTATTTTCAGTACACCATAGATACAACAGGGTGCCACATAATATCCCCACAACTGCTTTCCAACCCTCACACTTTGTAAATTCCACTATTACATCTCTCATTCGGAAGAGGCACTTCTCCCATCCACCCAGACATTAATGGACAAGGAATTACAACTTATTAATAGGGTGGTGCACAATACTAAATATTGTTTAAAATTACATTATGTATTAAGAGTTTAACCTTACTGTTTTGGATAGTCCATTCAAACCTTTGTTTTGATTTATTATTTCCTTTAAAAAGTCTGATCTAATACATTTTTTGACCATTATCTAATACATAGAATGATTCAAAAGTCTGTATAAGTAGACAAAGAATTCACATTAAATATCTATTTGTAAATCACAGAAAATAGTCTATGGTTGTTATTTAATTGAGGGCATTTATAAATGCATTGTTTATCTTGTAGCAAATACAGTACATGTTAACATAACATCTCTTATGTGTGCAAGAGCATCTCATCGTAATATTTGTTTTGTATAAAAAGTTTTGAATCACTTTATATTATACTTACATAAATTACCCAAAACCTTAAGCAACACTAGCTAATTAAACTAACAGATGAGTTTATATTTTTTATTAGTTTTATTAAGAAATATATATATACTCATCACCTTACATTTTGTAAGTACCCCAAGAGTCAGGAACAGGAACAAAATATAACCATGAAGGATATGGTTAAAATACTTCTAATGAATAAGTTAATACAAAAGAAAGACATATGAATTTCAGCCTCCTGAGCAGCTTGGGGAATATATTTTTCCTGAAATATAACCACCTCAAATATACTATCTTCTGCTTTTTCTTGTTGCAGTTCATCTCTTTCTCTGTAGGGTCTCTTCAACATTTCAACTACAGAATCTGCCTTTTCTTTGTTTCTACCTCTTTTTATATCCTTCTTACCTCTCCACCCCTACACCATTTTCCCTACTTCCAATCCAATGTAACTTCATCTGTACCATAGAAATAGCTAGGTCAATCCCAAAGAGTTCATCTCCAGCAAAATCCCATAATGGAAAATGAAACAAAGGGATGATAGAAAACAAGAAGTATGGAAAGTAACCAGAGAAAAGAAATTTTACAATATCCTATATTAAAAGCAACTGGCTTGTATGTTACAGTTTAATCTCTAAAAACTGTATTTATGACTAACATTCCACAAACCTCATTACAATAAGTTTGATTGATAACATACAGACATTCTATCTTTTTAAAAAAGAAAATAAATTCCCAAAAGTAATTGATAACTCAATTATGTGTTTTTCATTTTAATTATAATGACTTATGTCATTCCCTTACTATAACCAGATCAAGGGTTTTATATGTTTATATGTTGAGAAGCATTATATAAAAAGTGTCTATTCAGAGATTAGTATATGTTCAGGCATCCTTTATAAACAAACTTTCCTAACCATATGTGTGTAATAACATGATTTCTATCAATAATACAGTCTTCCAAATAAAATGTTAATACAGTCTTCCAAAATTAATTCTATTATTTTTAATTACTATAATTGTGTTAATTATTACTTTAGAAGTATTCATTGTACATCAATTAATCAAGTAACTTTCCAAGTTTTATCTCCCATTTTCATTCAAACATCTTGTTTTATACTTCCTTTAGGAAGCCCCATAAATGAAAATGGCAACTCCACAATGGAGAAAGTGTTTTGTGTCCCACAGTTCATAAAGCCAGAATAACTCATCATTGTGTAATGTGAGTAATTTACACAAACTATTGAATAAAGCTTTCCAAAGTTTTAATGCACATTACAACACTCTCAGATAATAATTAACATAATTACAATAATTTGAAATGGTAGCAATTTTTGGAAGGCCCTATATAATAACAATAACTTTTCATGTTATTTAATATTTTGATTATCATATATTATACCAGATTTTAAAACAAAAATTAATGTTTACTTTATATAATTAAATGCCAGTGTTTTTCAACCTTTTTCTTATTGTGGACTGGTAAAATTAGGGATAATTTTATGTGAACCAGCAATTAAATGCTTGTAATAAACAAGCACAATTATGAATTATGCTTGTTTATTACATTTATATGTCTATCTAGAGTTACATAACAAAGTATATACAGTAACTCTAGATTACTATTTAAATATCGCCCATAATCAACTGTTCCAGCATAGATACCTGTACAGTCATATATTTTTCTGCAGACTGGTGAACTTCTTTCATTAATTGGCTCTGGTCCATGAAATGGCAGTTGAAAAACACTGCTATAAACTGTTATTTTTGATAAATTGTATTTTTGAAGTAAAGTTAAATTTTTTATTATGTAACATATATTTACTGTCATGTTTATCTTTCTTCCCAATCCCTTATTGTCCATATAACCTATGTTTTTCAATTGCAATTTTACTGACCATGCCAATTTTTTTTTTTGAACATAAAAGCTTGTGTTGGTGAGGGATGACTATATTCATCAAAAATAAAAAAATGGATATAAAGTTGGTTTTTGTTAACTTATGTTATAGGTGATATTTGTTCCTAAACATTACTTTGCAAAAATAACTTGTTTGCACATAAATTTAAATGCAATTGCAAAATTTTTCTTAATTGGTCCTAATTAGGCAAATATTTACATTTCATTCTACACAATACACAATAATTTAAAATTACACAATAATACACAAAATTAAAGTATTTGTGTATTATCTTACCTCGCAACCAATAATTGCATCAAATCCATAGGTGTGAGGTATGCACATGTCACATTTTTCTCCCGTTACTCTCGGAGGGCATATGCACTGGCCGGTGGTCGGATGACAGATGGCAGTCGAAGGACAATTACACGGTTTGCAATTGGGAAAACCGAAAAATCCCGTCTGACAACGAGAACAAGTTCGGCCTATGACATTGGGTCTACAGTTACACTGTCCACCAAACTCGTTACATTCGTAACTGTACGAGCCGTCCGTATCGCATTTGCATTGCAATGCACCATTATTGTATTCTGACGTAAGAGAAAATGTTGACTCTCTACAATATTCTGTAAATAAAAAGTAATTTTTGAATCTTATGTTAAATAAACAATTTTTATAAAAATATTTATAGAGTTTGTTTTTATCATATTGATACTAAAACAAATTTATATATTAGTTCCTAATAAACTTATAGAGTAGTTCAGTTTTCTCAACTTTGAATGTTGGCATTTATTTCTTAATTCAATGGTGTCCCAGGCCAAATCCTGCCAATGACACGTGCTAATCTGGCCCACAAACATATTTCACACATCAATGATAGAAATACAGTAAGTCTACTTTAAGTATATATGAAATATATGAAACATTTGTGCATCTATCTACAACTTATGATATTTGGTCCACCAATTGAAAAGTTTGGGCATCACTGTCTTAATTGATCAGTTTATATCATAATTTAATCAACTAAATACAAAATTTAGAAGTTCACATTTGTGGAAGAATGATTTTTGTACTATCTTTCCTGTCAGATAACATATTAATTAGTTAAATATTATATTTAACAATACTATTATAATCTAAAGTTAATTTTTGATTAATGCAATTATCTTAAGCATGACTTGGGAATCAAAATTGAATCCAAAATAAACAAATAATGCACTGATTAAAATTTTCTTTTTCTTACTAGTTAAAATTACTTTTAGTTACACCAATTTCTGCTTTATTGGACTAATTACAATTTATAATAAAACTAATACAATATTAATCTCCAGTCTATTTTTTAGTAATATTAATGTCATAAATTATTAAGCTTCATTCATATCTACAGGCACGTAGCGTGGCCAGCACGTAACGTGGCAGACACGGCACAGACAATAGTTTTCACATCTACAACCCAGCATGCACAGACGCCTTCAGGCATAGTAGGGAGTGCACGCGCGAACCATGTTCCGAAAATTTTCGATAGAAGAACTAGCCGTGATGGCAATTTTACTAGAAGAAGAAGAATCAGGTTGTGTAGAAAAGCAACTAAAAAAAAGAAGGTTTGCTGTTCATCCCATGAATGTAAAACGAAAGAAAGAAGGAGAATTCTACACATTATTCAAGGAGCTTGTGGACGANAACTTGAGTCGTTTCTAGAAGTTGTTCGACAACCGAAACAAATTTTTCCGTAAGAAACTATAAAATGGATTAATTCGTTCCCGATTCCCAAAACAAAGCTTTTTAAAAATCTTTTTAGCTGTATTTAAAGCATAAAAATGCCTATAAATGCAATATAATAATACATATAATAGATAATATGTATATATTATCTATTATATGTATTATTATATTGTAATATATATTAAAAGCAAAATGTTTTGTCACCGCCAATTGAAACTGAAACTAACACTTTACATATAGTGCCATAAATAGAGACTTGGCTCTGCCTGGATGAAATATAACCAAATCAATCAAGACAGACAACAAATACTTTATCCACATTTTCCAAAATATTGTGTTTCAATTGCTTTGATTAAAATTAAAAATTAATTAATTAATTTCGATTTTATTTTCAGTTTTGATATAAAAACCAGAATTTTAATTATTATTTTATTATTTTTAATTAACTAGCTACCTATTATTAATAAATATTACATTAATCATTAATAGTATAATATATAATATATTAATACATTTTTGTTATTTAATTTGAGTTAAGTATGTTTTAATACAAATTATTGGTTATCATTTAGATTACGTGAATGTAATCTTAAGTCATCACATTTCCTCTCTTGCTAACATATATTGCCACAAATTTCACTTGCTTGCAATGTATATACATGATGATGAAATGTTTTAAAACTCTTTCCACCTTGTGCTTTTCCTTTTAGTATGCCATGCCACGTTTTACTGTGTACCACCATACTTTGTGTACTTTTTCACTTACTAAATAATTATAATAGTCAAATGATTTGTAGTTTTTAAACAATTTCTTTGTATAATAACAGATTCTGTCCACAAAGTAATCATGAAAGTTGAGCTATTTTTGTGGTATCACTGCTAAAGAGATTATGTAGTTCAATGTCTAACAGATTAGGCACTCCAGGTCAAATTGCTTAAGCTTTCCTTTACATCCAACTTTAGCCTCATTATCCAAAGTAAAATAATAACTCATAATTATTTATTTTATTTTATAATTGTTTTTGGTTTTTAAAATATTAACGATTTCAACATGTTAAATGAGCAAGGTTGAACATATCAGAACCATACATGCACATAGCTAGCCGGAAATGACAAAAGTTCCATCACTTCCATGATGCTTTTGTTGGAATCAACGATTGAAATTATTGTCAAATGTTATACGACATTGTTATGTACAACACATTGTGTCACGATGTTTTATAAACGTTCTTTCGTTACGTAATGAAAGGTTGGTGGCACTGTTGACCCCTCGGGGAGCTGTTAGAGACAGTGACCTCGTTTCACTCTTCCCTTTTCAGTGCTGACCTTCCGTGAGTCAAGACAGTGTAAGCTTTGATTCTTTGTTATATAACCAGTTACACAAGTCTAACTAGTTTTTACTAATCTCTCCAACAAGCAACATCTAGTCTAACAGCTTTGTACTTTGTTGTTTTTCATAGGTGAATAGGGCTGATCATAACATATTACTACACTGTATATTCACCTTTCTATTTTCCACAGCATCTGGAAAAAAATCTGCTAACTCAGACTTTCATAAATTAGACCTTTGTCAGTACTAGTCCAAATTAGCAGGGTTTATTGCAATGTCATGAACATTTATTCTATTAGTTTAATATTATAAATCTTATATATATGTAATTGTAAATAGACTTACTGTGAGTAATTCAACAACTGTACATTTCAATTGATTTAAGACTTGACAGTAAAAATACAGATAAACATTTTTTAAACTATGTTTTTAACTATAATTTATGCTTTTCAGCTAATAAATCAGATTGGTTTATGTGCATCTATTTTGCACACACACAAAACATACTGAAGACATTTGTCATAAAATAAAATGAAAGTTAATTTTGATGATAGAATTATGATAAAAATATTAAATTTTTGGTATACCTGAAGCATCTGGTGTTATATAAAAATTATTCTGACCACAGTTAGTAATAAACTTTCCAGCTTTATCTTGAGGAAGAGGATGAAGCAAACTCTCATCATATTGAGAACTTGGAATAGCTAAAACATAATCCTATAAAAGAATTATAATTAAATAAAATTAACTATTAATTATAATAAATTTGAATATAAGTTAATATAAATTATATACAATAAATTATATTGTGAAGACACCTCTACATGATAAAATTTTCTACATTATTATGTATTATGTGCTTTTCTTAATAAGAAATATGATTATTTTTAAAGATTCAGATATGTCAATTCGTATCAATCTTAAATATTCTGTTTTTAGAAACATGATGATTTTTAAACACATTTTTTTGTGCACTCTTTAATTTTTATATATGAGAAATTATAATTTTTAACATTTCTATAAATATAGAATCAGTTCTAAAATATATCCAGATTATGCTTTTCATTCATTCTTGGATTGTAAACATACTTTAGTCTTTTGTCTAAGTAAAGACCAATACAAAGAAATATTACAATATAAAATAAACAGTACTACATAACAGCATTGTTTTTAGATATTTGCATGATTGTATGGAAGGATCAGAATGAAGTATGCTGTTGTGACCTATCAAGATAATTAGTTTTTCCTCTTTTTCTCATTCTAGAAGTTTCTTTTTTAGTTTATGTATGTATCTACTAGAGTGCACCCTTTGGCAGAATAAGTTACTACTAATGTAGCCAAGAGATAATTTCCAGTTCTCACTAGTATATAATGATCAAATATGTGCCAAAAAAATTACTTTTTGTACCATCAAATACGGATTTTTGTGTTAGTGATGAAAACATTGTGATGCAGAGTTTGATACATTGATAACACTATTGAAAAAAATCCAGCAAAAGTTAAAATTGTGTGTGGCACCTTCTGTTATAAAATTTTAATTAAAAACTGTTTATATTATTAATTATTACAAAATGGCAAAAAAGTTAATTTTGAGGGTAGAGTTGAGTTTTATAAAAATAAAAAAAAAAAAACTGTAAATGCTAATTACAAATAAAAATCTTCCTTAAGTCTGACCTCACTCTAGATATGACACATGATCCTAGTGTTGCCACCTTTAAAAATTGCTGACCCGAACAATAGGTTTGTTCCAACACAAGTCCCTGACTGGTTTGAATTTGAAACCATATGAGGCATGCACAATGTCATTTTACAGCCAAGAACTGAATAATGCACATGCCAGTTTTAAACCAGTTAGGGATTTGTGTGTTGGAACAGACCTAGGGTATGTTCGTGAAGTCTAATGAGTTAAATGAGAATGACATCATTGTTATTCTTACTTCGTTAAACTTTTTGATTGATTTGTTTATAACAAAAATGGCCATTTCTAAAATTGAAGATATGAATGTTGGTAATGCAGCCTTACACAAAATATTTTTCTTAGATTGCTTCGAGTGGGCAGTTATTTCTATCATTTCACCTTTTAATCCATAATTTAAACCCTCAAGTAGATTTAAAAACATCAATATCACCAGGCACCATTTTCTTAACGAAGTAAATAACTCTTTCCTTCATGAACTTCATTAAAGTGTCATTCAAAATGTCATCACTGCAGAGCATGCACACTGAGTGAGACTACTACTTTTTTGACTGACTAACTCATTTTACGAATGTACCCCTAATATTTACCAGAGATATTTGCAAATTAGAATTTTAAAAGTACATTTTCTGTCACTCTTAGCCTAGGGATAAGATAAGGATAAGTTTGGGAGGGTGTGTGAAGTTAAAGTATATAACCATTAAAATAAAATAGTTGCAAATATTTTTATAAATTTATTTTGTTTTATCATAATTTCTATGAAAATTATTAATCAATCCAGACCATGAATTTAAAAACCGGCTTGTCTGGGTGAAAACTGGCCTGGTGGCAACACTATATGATCCCTCTCTATATCCCAAATCCCTTGACCTTTAACCACCAAAATGTAACAACATAAATCCTCCTAATAACAAACCTTCCTGCAAAATTTCAGACATTTTCAATAAAAACACAGGAGTTATTAAGCTTCAAAGTGGATGAACAAAATTGTGCTCCACATACACACTGGAAACATGCATACATAAAGAAAATATCCCACTTTTTTTTTGCATTCCTCAATGTTTCAATGTCCTCCGAGTCCAAAAATGTAGAAATCTCAAAGGGTTATTTTTTGACTGATCACCATACATTCTTTCTGTTTTATATAACAGTTGGAAAAGTGAAAAGGCAAGTTCAAAAAGTCAGCAAGGGCTCTCATACAACTTTCCCAGCACTCAAAATTTATAAAATTATGTGTGTGCCATCAGTTATGAGATCTTATGAAAAAATAATTTTTATATTTTTAAATATTGTAATAAAGGCAAAAGGCTTATTTTTGGAGTAGGAGTGCATTTTCAAAGAAATTGTAAATGTTAATAATAAGTAAAACTTTCATTAAGTCTGGTCCATATGACCTTCCTCTAGCTTCCCATTCCCTTGACCTTTAATTATCAAAACTTAAGAACATCAATACCCCATATATAGAAATAATCCTATCTGGTTTCAAAATATTTGGTTCATCCAGTTCTGATTTACAATGCAAAATAGCTATGCCTATGCATATGAATGAACATGCCTGCACACATGCACAAAGAATTTTAAGGGTTGTTTTACATTTTTGGGCTTTTTCAAATATCAAAACACTAAGTAATGCAAAAACCTGGGAGAAATCAAAATTTGACTGATTGCCATACTTTCATTCTATTATAGTCTATAACAGCCAGGAAAGTAAAGAGGAAATAAGACTAAATAGACAATTGAAAAAAAATGACTGAACATTGAAACTTTCAGGTTGGTTATCTTTATCATAGGATAGAGCATTTTTCTGTTAAGCAGTTGAATTGCTTTTAACAGAAAGATAATTCTTTCTTTTATTCTTTCCTCCATTCCCAAAAGATCATTCTAGACCTGTTATGCAGGTTAAACTTATCAGCATATTCACAATTTTGTTTATATTTCTGTTGAGTTAAATTAAATCATTTGTAAAATTGATTTTTGAGTAGACAAACTGAAATAAATAAAGCTCAACTTTGGCATTGCTCTTTCATACTAATATCAGCTAATTAAGTGAAAAGTTACAGATATAAGTTATTGAGGACTAATTATGGAATATGTTTTCAAATCACCATACTGTAATTTGAACTGTTTGTGTGCATTAAATAATGTGTTTGTGTGGGTTTTGTTTTAAAATCATATGACTGTGAGTAATTTGGTATCAAAGCAGTATATATAAATTTTGTAATTATCTATAACCAATTATTTGAGTGACACGATGACTTCAAAATGCCTAACAGGGATCTTTTCAACAGTGCAGTTGATCTATTATCTATTATTAAAACTTTAAAATATCAATAAATAAAATCAGAAATTATATTTATCTTAAAATATTATATCTAGTGAATATAATTTATTGATTAAAATATTTTATAGAACAAATATGGGCAACTTGCAGTCCTTCATAACTTTTCCTTAAGTCCTTATACTATCAAAACCTTAAGTGTATTTCTATCATAAGTAATTTACAATAAGTTCATCCGTCCAGTGAACAAGAGTCTTAACACTATAAATGGCATCAAAACAGCTTCTCACAGTCCTTAAACTATGGAAAAGCTGCCCATGCCCGTTCTAGAAGAAAAGAGTTTCTAATTACAGAAGTTTACAAAAAGAAATTAAATTTTTTTTAAAATTTTATTTAATTACGATGAAATCTCACTTACCACCCATACACTCTTGTGATTTGGTTCTTTCAAAGTCAGTACAAAATTCTTTAATATTTGGAAAGACACATCGCTTGTAATTTTTTCTTTCACCACGGCTCGACAGCCTGAGCTGTCTGGACAGTGTTTAATGGGAAGAACTGCTTCATAAAATTGTCCATTTTGAATTATCACGTCCATTTCGAAACTTGGATGGTCTGGCTGCATTAAAGTACATAATTTTTAGTAAATAAATTATTAAATAATATATAATAAAAAATGCCAGATAATTTCTCTACCATTTAATTTGTCATCATTCATTATTTTTATGTACTTTCACAATATTTTATTTTTTATCTTAAAAAATGGCACCTTTCTTTCAGCAATAAAATCATAAGTAAAATTCAATTAAGATTTAAAAATCTCTAAATAATATTAAATGATCTCTTGGTGATCAAATGAAAGGCAAATTTGTAAGTAGTAGTGCAAAAACTTTGATGACTCTAAGTCAATGATACAACAAGTACAGCTGATCCAGTCAATGTCATCAGTCTGACCCATAGCATTGCGAAACTCTTACGCACTACTTTTCGTTAGTTCTTTGTCTGGTACATTATTTTTTTTTGTATTATACATAATGGATCACACTTTTATTAATTATATTATTTGATGATTTGAGTTTTAAAAGAATTCAACTTTTAAGTCAGAAACTATCAAAATTCAGTAAAGTCTAGAATTATGTCACAAATCTTCCATTTGTCAGAATAGAAACTGTTCCTTGATAAAATTATCAGACATCCATTCTTTAATTATTAGCAAAACATAAAAATTACCATATTTTGTGGCATATAAGATGCATCCCCTTTCAGCACAGAATATTTAGAAAAAGTACTTAGTAATTTACATGTAACCTATTGAAAGCCATTTGGGAAATTCACTAGCCTATGGGAGATTGAAACTTCACATATAATTTTTTGAGCCTTTTCTCAATAAAAGTTGTATTTCGTATCATATAAAATATGATATTTATATTTTTTACATATTAAAATTAGATGTATTATCAAGAACATTTCATCAGAATTAGTGAGAAAGGTTAAAACTTTTAGCAGATTTTACATAAATATTAGAATAAACATATTTTACACTGGTAAAATCTGTTTATGCTAATATTTATGTAATTATGTCTAGTTATAATTAATTTAAAATAATAATAATTAATAATTTAATCTACTTATTTTATTTAAGAACTATTAAATTATACAGCAAAAGTCAATGCAAAGTTATGCATGTAAAAATTAAAATGTAAAACTAGAAATCATTCAAAATGTCAATGTTCTAATTTTAAAAATAAGCTGAGGTTCTTCTTTTAATTATTCCCCCAATCATCTAAAACGGGTGTTTAACCTGCGGCCCAATAAACATGTACACAAAACTGACATTTTTTTTTATTATTTATTTATTTATTTATGTAAACGGTATAAACTCAAAAAAGAAGTTTCACAAAGCTGTAAACCTTTATACATATTTTATTTTTGAGTGGAAAAGAAATATTTTCAAATACTTAGAAATGTGTGAATGAGCAAGGTATACTAAATAAAGCTGGAGTTGGCTCTCAAAGGAGTATAGACTCAAATTCAGGGAAAGGAGAGAAAGGCCTAAAGATAAAAAGTAATAAGAAAGGTTAAATAGACCTTCTGTTATGCAAATATGGACCCTTAATTAATTTTCCAACCTTCCTTACTTCTTTATCTTTTGTCCTTTCTCTCCTTTCCCCTCATTTGGGTCTATAATCCTTTGAGTTTCAACTCCAGCTTTATTTAGTATTCCTTCCAGCATTGCAAGATTTGGCTACCTTTTTATTATTTTGATGTAAAAAATATCAGTTGTCACATTGGTTACTTTTTGGGCTACATCAGGGGTGTCCAACCTTTGTTTCTCTGGGCCACATTGGAAGAAGTCAAGGAGTTTTGGGCCACAAGTATAGTACATATAATATATACTTGTGGCCCAATATACAAGTATATTTAAGGATTAACATGTCTAAATTATAATAATAAGTATTAAAACTTTATTGAGAAAAAGGATATTTTAAAAAATTACATCTACAGACACTAGACACTTTCAATTTTTACTTAGAAATAGATAAATTCATTTATTATAAGAGACAAACGGAAATTTATTTGAAAAACACAAATATTTGTAATAGTTGGGTCTCTAATTAATAAAAAGCAACGAAACACCATTTTAAAGTGCATTTTTATTCAACTAATATAATTATAAATAATATGTAGCCCAAAAAGTGGCCAAAGCGCCAAATGATATTTTTTACGTCAAACAAAAAAAAGTAGCCACATTTGGCGCAATGTTGGAAAAAATACTAAATAAAGCTGTAGTTGTGAATCAAAGGATTATAGACCCAATACAGGGAAAGGAGAGAAAGGACAAAAGATAAAAAAGTGAGAAAGGCTGGAAAATTAAGAGTCAACAGAAGATCTATTTAACCTTTCTCACTACTACATCTTTTGTTTTTTCTTATCTTTCCCTCCTTTTCCCAAATTTGGGTCTATAATCCTTTGAGTCACAACTCCAGCTTTATTTAGTAATCCTTCCTCAGTCCCACATTTCCAAGTATTTGAAAATATTTCCTTTCCATTCAAAAATAAAATATGAATAAAGGTTTACGGCTTTGTGAAACTTCTTTTTTGAGTTTATGCCATTGAAATAGATAAATAATAAAAAAATTAAAACATTTTGTCGATTTTGTTTACACGTTTACTGGGCCGCATTGGAACTTGTCTTGGGCCGCATGCGGCCCGTGGGCTGCGGGTTGGACACCTCTAGGCTACATATTATTTATAAATATATTAGTTGAATAAAAATGCACTTTAAAATGGTGTTTCGCTGTTGTTTTATTAATTAGAGACTCAAATAAAACAAATATTTGTGTTTTTCAAATAAATTGTTTGTTTCTCTCCTTTATAATAAATGAATTTATCTATTTCTAAATAAAAATTAAAAGTGTCTGTAGAAGTAATTTTTAAAAATATTCTTTTTTGTGGTGAACTTTTAATACTTATTACTATAATCTAGACATGTTATTCCTTAAATATGCTTATATATTTAAGGATTGGGCCAAAATATACTTGTGGTCCAAAACTCCATGACTTCTTCTAATGTGGCCCAGAGAAACAAAAAGGTTGGACACCTCTGATCTAAAAAGAGTCAATTAAAATCATACCAATTATTTGTAAATAATTTTTAATTTTCTCTTATGTACACATTTTAATTATATTTAATTTAAATATTCACTCGAAACACTAATTTTCCAGAAATGGATCATCATATTTAATTTTTAGTCAACACGATTGTATCAAACGTAGCAATATATTGTATGGCATAGTTGAAAGTTTTGATTAGCAATAAAAACATAAAACATACGAGATTTTTTGTCACTTCATAGTATTTGTGAGATTTTTCAAGTTTAAAAATTAACTTTTTATTACTGTAAATTGAAGCATTTAACTAGTTTTTTTATTTCTAATGTTAAACAAAAAATAAAATAACTTTTACTAAATTAAACAAAAATGATAGATAAAGTATTGCATAAATTTTAGAAGTTTAGAATAATATAAATACTTGAAGAAACTTTAATATAAACATTACTTTTAATCTACAAACCATACTTCTCGTTATTTGGAACCATGTCTATATTCATTTCATACTTTTTAGAAAACACAATACTATTCAACATTCTTTGTTCAGAAAGTATCAGAGTAAAAAATTGAATAAAGGATGTTGAATTAGTCTAGTAACTTCAATTGAAACTCAATTTTGTTTTCTAAAAAGCATTTAAAGCATATTTCTTTTATATAAACAGTGAAGATGTATTTAAAAATAATTTGTTCAAAATATCTTGTTCAAGCTGATTAATTAATGATTTGATATCCTGAAAGTGAAAATAATTTTTTTTATATTTTTGTCTGTTTGTTATATTTGTTGTCAAAAAGATGAACATAATAAAGATGAAGCTAAACAATTTTATTTTTTAAGAGTAATTACTTATGTTTAAAGCTACATAACAAAAGGATCTGTAACTATTTTAATTAAAATTAGTTTAAATAATCAGTAATCAATTTGTTAGTGAATATATTTTATCATTTTGTTACCTCTAAATTTAAACTGTAAACTTTATTAATTTACCTGATAATAATGAACAACTAATACGTATTTTCCAGTATCCGGTACTGATCCTTGAATGTCAACCATGGCGTCAGAATAATTTAAATAGATTAATTTGGCATCTTTATCGAAGATTGTGACTGGCAGATCAGAAGCTATTCGCTCTTCATTAAATCCACTTTCAAACTCTATCTGAAATATTTAAATAGAACATGTTCAAATTCTTATATTATTAAATTTTGTGAGCTTATTAATGTTTGAAAATTATTTATTTAAAATTGTTTGTTACTTTGTGGAAAACTTATGTCATACATCAGGATTTTATCTATGCATTATAAATAAACAGTAAATTACTTTGTACTCATCTAAAATACACAAAATTAAACTAAGTTTATATCTCACATATACCTATATTTAATTTGCTGATTTATATTATTAGATCGTAAAAAGTTATTTATTAAAATAAAAGCAAATTTTAAGTATGATTAGCAAAAAATGTATAATAAACTATATAGTAAAAAAGTAATTAAGAATTGAAAAGTTAATTGATGTATATGAAAATATATATATTTAGATAAATGATAAGATAATTTATTATTATTTACTAAAAGATGCAAAATAAAATTAATGAGAATGAATTGTAGAAATGTTACAGATTTACTAAAAATTAAAAAAAAAAAAAAAAAAAAAGATCAAGTTATGCTTGTCATTGAATACTTTAAGAAAAATCATGAAGAATAACTGTTGCTGTTGAAATATCAGTTATAATTTATCTGAAAAGTAATTTCTTCATAGCAAGTTTCATATCTTTAAAATGAAATGCATTTCATATTCCAGCAAAATTTCTTCAACAATAGAAAGTGATAGAAATTATTACAAGAGTAGGAATGTATGATAATGCATTCAAACTATTCTTAATTATCATGAAGAAAAGCTGTTAAGATGATAAGAGTATTTCTTTCAGTTAACAGAACCCTGCTACCAAGACTAGCAAGAAACCAAATACTTAATTAAATGTTTATATGAGCTATCTTGAACTAGCTATCATCTTGAACAGTCAACTCTTGATTTTTATTATATGCATATCTTATGAACATAAATCAGTGGAATTCAGTGCACTTACATATTAGTGTATAGACTATACACTAGTATGTTCAGTATATAAATGTATTCCTAAATATACATTACTACTGCAGTAAAATTAATTACATATATTAAATATATTATTTAAAGTATAATTAAATATATTTTTAAAATATATTTAATTATACTTGTTCTAGTTGTGATGACAAATCAGCTTTGTAAATTTATTTTTTGATACACCTTTGAGTAAGCATTAATATATGCTAAACATTTAAAACACTACATCTGTTTATTTTATAGTAGTTCTTAATACTAATTTGTATCATTTTCTGTCACTATTATGTTAAATGTATAATTTAATAAAAATAACAACATGAAGAATTTATTGTTTTTAAATAAATTAAAATTAATATTATGGAAATGAAGAATATCTTACTTTTGTGGCATCTGGAACTGGAGGAAATTTTATTTCTAAGCATTTACCATCCTTCTTAATGCATTGAGATTGAGGAACAATAAAATCGGAATGCCACATATCATATGGTATTGCAGCGATGCTATCTATAATCACATTGGAATTATTTCCAATAGTTAATTGCAGATTAAGGGAATTAGAGTCAATGTCAAATATGGCAATCTGTCCATCAGCTTGCATTACGACTTCCCTACAAAGGAAAGAATAAGTGCATTCATACAAAACTGCAATTCCTTTATCCATTTTATTTGTCGTCGACAATTCAACCATGACGTTTGCAGTTTCGACATTTTCTGGAGTATAATAAATAATAACAAATACGTATTCTCCCGGTTTGCTTACACGCATATCCAAATGGAGAGATGTTTGATCACTATTTAACCATGCCATTTCTTCTGTTTCAAGCTCCTATAAATAATATATGAAAATGTAATTGTCAAAAATAAAATTTAATCCATAAAATGTTTAATTTTAAAAAATATTGCTATTTAACTCTACTTTGTAAAATATTCACTTAATGAAACATTTTAATTTAAGAATATATATTGTACAGTTTCAATAGAAAGTAACAAAAAGGTAAATAAAAAATTAAATTGAACTTTAAGCAAAATAAATAAATAAAAACAAATTAAAATGGCTAATATTAATTTAGCCATTTTAATTTACATTATATTTCATTTTTTGGCATAAAGTCAAGTGCAAAGAGAATTAGAACTACATCTAATTCTTTATTACTTTTCAGTAAATTTGTAACAAATTATTTTACTTAATAATTAATTTATCTTAAATATGTTAAATATAACTATGCTTGAAAAATGTATCAAATTTAGCCATTACTTCTATAATATATTCATCTTGATATAACTGGGTGCGAATTCTTTGATCATCGAATGCAACGTAACCCGCTTCTCCTCTCACAACGGACGATTCTTCGGGTATTAATGGATATCTAAAATGTCTGCAAGATTCATTCTCTTGACCGAGCTCACACGGAATATTTATAGCCTCTTGTAATAATGTAGCTTCGTAATATGCTTGAGGTAGAAGAACCATATAATCCTATTAAAACAAATTTTAAATTATTATATAAATATTTAAAATATTTTCAGCATTTATATTAATAGATACAAAATAGAGAAATAGTTTTTTTTTTAAATTTTATGGTTTAATCTGATTTTCTGGTGTAGAATTTCTAATTAAAATATACAAAAATAGTTGATAATCTTTAATTAATCATCATCTAATCCCTATTCCAAACAGTTGTATCTATTTTTTTTACAGAAAAATTAAGTTATCTACAACAGATAAAATGGTATTTATATATCCAATAATATAATAAACATACCAAAAATAAAGGATTTTCCACTCTAATGGATACTGTCCATCGACCGGGATTAAGAACGAAAGGGGCTGCCGTCAATCCCTGTTTTCCAGCGACTCTCATTAATCTTGGCTGAGTAGTTGCTTCAAATACCATATCACTACTCTGTTGAATATCTAAAATAAATAAAACATAAATAACTTTTAGAATTCTGATTAATATTTGTATCTGTCTGGATAAAAATTTTTGTGTATTTATTAAATTATTTGAATTTTTCATTATTCATAAAACATATAAAAGTTTCTTTATCTTTTAAAATTGAACTAGTAATGTTTATAAAATGTATTCTACATGAAAAACATTAAATATTTCACCATAATTAAAATAAAAACATTGATCAACATCTAAAATGTATATAGCTACACAAATTAAACTGAATGTGAATTTTTCTAATAGATAACTGATTTTTTCAATATATATATATATATAGAAAATAAATTAGCAATTTAAATGTTAATCCAACGATTTATTATATATATATATTAATAACTTTTCATTTCTTTAATATTTCACTTAAAATTAAACAAAATTACAAACTGAAACATAAGAATTTATTGTGCATTTGAAGAATCAAAACAAAAGGAATTAAACAGAATGAATTTTATAGTGAATAAATGTATACAACCTAATGTAATGTAAAATATGCATTTAAAAATAAGAGAAATTTTCAATAACAAATCCTTCATCTCCTATTAATTCAATACAACTGTGTAAATCAAATTGATTCATTTTGTTTCATACAATTTTGATTTCAAGTACTCAAACTATAAAATAAGAATTATTACATCTATATCACTTTTGTGTACATTGGTTCTTAATACTAATTTGTATCATTTTCTGTCACTATTATGTTAAATGTATAATTTAATAAAAATAACAACATGAAGAATTTATTGTTTTTAAATAAATTAAAATTAATATTATGGAAATGAAGAATATCTTACTTTTGTGGCATCTGGAACTGGAGGAAATTTTATTTCTAAGCATTTACCATCCTTCTTAATGCATTGAGATTGAGGAACAATAAAATCGGAATGCCACATATCATATGGTATTGCAGCGATGCTATCTATNATTTTGTTTCATACAATTTTGATTTCAAGTACTCAAACTATAAAATAAGAATTATTACATCTATATCACTTTTGTGTACATTGTTCAAATTATAGTTTATGTTTCTCTAGATTAATATAAATAAACTCACCTGAAAAGCCTTCAGGCGTAAATGTAATGGTACCCATAACATTTTCTCCACCAAAACTCATATAATGGAAAATAATTTGATATAAGCTTGATTTTTCAACATATATATCCAATAAAATCTCTCTCTAAACATGCAGAAAAAAATTACAAATAAGTAAAATATTTTTTAAACTTGAATGAAATAAATTTGTTTAATAACACAAAAATATATTTTATGTATTAAAGCTTAATCATCTACAAAATAAAATACCTAATCATTATGTGTTATTGGAAGGAATCCATTCCAGAAGCTTGAAAATTTTGAAAAAGAAAAAAGTTATTTGTTAGCTTAGATACAAACACTTTATTTAATAAAAAAGTATGAATTGTATAGCTTTAAACTCTGATGAGACACTGAACAAAGGAAAAGATTTAAGAGAACTAGTTAACTGGTAATTAAAAAATTCTAAATATTAGAAGTACCAAGAATTTGAGGTCAAATATAAAGAGATTATAATGAAATTTTAAATAAACTTAAAATTTTATGCATATGATATTCACTATTAAATTCATGATATATAAGACATAATATAGTATATAAATAAATATATGGACTGATTATTTTGAAAAGGTATAAGTTCATTTTTGGAAAAAATTGAGAAATCACATAATTTATGTATAATTTAGTGTGAACTTTTTATTTCTAAACAATTCACACTTAGTATTTTAAAATAAACATATGCTTTAGCCAATTGAAAATTTGTCAGTAAATGACATTGCATAATCATTGATTATGAAAATGGTGTAAGTTCATTTTCCACAGTCTAATTAAACACTTAGAGGCTATCATAAATTACATCATATTTTTCTTGAAATTTTTACTCTCTCTCCCCTATTGTCCTAGTTTGTCCAAGGTTTCATAACCCCCTTCGAACGTCCACAAAACTCGATCCCCCTTAAAACCTTTAACACTTTATGAATGATAGCTAGCATAAGTAGAAATGAAACATTCAAGAAGTTTTGAAATAAATATAATACACTGTATAAAATTTAATGAAATAAACAGATGTCCACTGATGTCAACCCCTCCCCCTTGTCCAACTTATTGTAATCCTTTCTCTCCCTTCCATTGTGGACATCATTTACTTCTTATAAGAGGAGTAAAACTATAAATTTTACCAACAAAAGCACAATTTAATGGAATGAAAATAGATGGAATGAAAAAAAATCCAGATAACAAGCCTAAATGAAAAGCAATATCTAATGTTAAGCTCGTAATAATGATAAACTTATCATAAAATAGTTTAACAGTAAGTAAATATTTTTAATGCTGAAAATAAACATCATTATTTTATTTCTTGTTATTATTTATAAATAAAATCAAAATAAAACACAATGTATTTCAAATGAAATTGAATTTTAGATAATTGAAATTTAATGACTTCTACGGTTCAATAATTATAAAACTGATGCAAGTCCATTTACAACCCCAAAAAATATATTTGTTAAGTTAAATTCACATATAAGTCATTTATGTAATCAACTTACTTCTAAATTCATAGAAACATTGCTGAACTTAGTACACTTTATTTATATTTTTGAATTGACTAAAATGAAAACCTTTAAACATCTTGAAAAAAGAAAAAAATGGACTTATACCACTTTCAAAATAAACAGTCCCTATAATATATAATCTAAACCAAAATGGTCCTGGAAAATTTGACAACAGAAGTTCTACATACATCTTTATGTTTCTTGGAATTAATGATTACAAAATTAAAATATCAGTCAATTCTGAAAAGCATTGAAGATGGCTTGCATCCTACAGTATCAAATATTTAACCAAGATTTAATTCTTTATGTAAAAATAAACAAGCACATCCATATCATTATTATGCAAATTTCCTTTTGTCTTTAATAAATGGTAATAAATAGTAAAATAATACATATAACATAAAAATGGTTTTGAAATAAACTTTGTGTATTTGTCTCTTTAATCCGATTTTCAGTTCGGTAGACTATCATATACAGGTTATGAACTTCTTTTATTGGTTTATCATATGCATTTCGGACTCAATTGTAATTTAAGTCCCTCTTCAGTACAAACTCAGATTCTGTTTTCTAAAAACCTCGATGTATAATTGGTAACGTTGGAAAAGATTAAAAATACAGCCATTTAAAAAACACTTCAACTACATATTTTTTAAATGGCTGTATTTTTAATCTTTTCCAATGTTACCAATTATACATCGAGGTTTTTAGAAAACAGAATCTGAGTTTGTACTGAAGAGGGACTTAAATTACAATTGAGTCCGAAATGCATATGACAAACCAATAAAAGAAGTTCATAACCTGAATGCTGTATATGATAGTCTACCGAACTGAAAATCGGATTAAAGAGACAAATACACAACGAAAATAGCAGCAGCCATAAGTGATTTTTTGAAATAAACTGTTTTATGATTTATTATATCTATGTTATACATCGATATACCAAGTGCTATGTAAAATTTTCTCTGATAAAAGTGTGTTTCAAATGGAAAAAGTTTAAAAAAAGCTCTATTCTAAACTGAAATTATTACAACACTATGATAAAGAAATCTGAGATAAAGAGTTTAAACAACATGTCATTGAGTCTTTCATAATATTTTAAAATGTAACAAGATTGGATAACAGCTATTAAACAAAACATTAATCAAATAGTCAGAAAAGTAATGATCAGGAATGTTTAAAATAATAGAAATATGAATAATTAACAATATAATTTTAATAAAAAATTAATACTATTCAAATCAAAACTGTTACAGTAATATAAAAATAACTTTACAAGAAAAATAAAAAACTTTAAGACTTTTTATTTTAAAGATTTGGATTTTCTATTATTCTCAAGTTACTAACCTGAATTTCAGAAAATATTGCATAACCTCTCCAAGAATAGCCAGGAAAAATATTTTCATTGAATCCAAATCTAACTTGAGTATTAGCTGGAGTGCGTCCATCTTCAATTTCGAACTGATGTTGATACAGGGTTGAAAAATAATGAGTCTGGAGTGCCTTATCACACTGTCGACCGTTGATGCGTGGTCTGCATGCACACTGTCCGGAATTTTTATCACAGTTATTATTTACGGAGCCACCAATATTACAACCACAATCTACGAAATGTACATAAAAAGTTTATTTTATTAAATATTAATTATATTTTTCATAAAATTTAATATATATTATCATACAGCATGATCTTGTTTTACTAAAACTCACTTGCTACCAGTCAAATTGTCTTTGTGAATAAAATTATTTGTTTGTCTAAAAAAACCATGCATACATGCCAAATTGCAAAAGGGCCTCCCAAAGTTTTTCATTAATCTCAAAGTGATGTTTTCTAACAGCAATTCAAAGCCTGAGCAACAATGCTCACCTTAAAGAAAATGAAAAGCTTACAGAAAATGACATTTTTCATAAGCTGAGCATTGTCTTCTCGTTATTACAATGTGAATTATATCATTTCATATAATCAGTGCTTTGCTAGTAAACACTGTAGATACAGATAATTATCTATAATGTTTGTTAAGTTGCAGACCTGCCAATGTTGAGGCAGATCTGCAACTTAACAAACATTTTGCCAAACATAACCATTTAAGTGAAACAAGTCTAGTGCTTATGTCTACCAACATGACAACATTTTGCAACAAGCAATGAGTGCTAGAGTAGGCCTAAAATGTAGGCTTACTCTAGTGCTTCTAAACACAAGACTTTATATTTTGCTGGATGCATCTGAGTAGGTCTAACTTATAAATAAATTGCAGTTAAAGGATGTAGCCAAAACATTTCCACTCTTAACATTTCATGCTTTGGCAAAAATTCAAAATGCTTCCCCTTATTATGATAACTTCAAAAAATAATTAAACTTTTTCCTATTTGAGAATTCTCAAAATTTAGTCAAATTAATCTGTATTGAAAAGAGAATTATTATTTTTTCACTCACAGTTTTTGATCTAAAAACTAAAATGTTCTCAGATCAAATTCATGTCATTGTTTCTAATAATATTTCTGACTTCACTCAACTATTCTTCACCCCATTTTTAAGTTTACTATACAGTTTATTGCTTAAGTTTAATTAAGTGATAAACTGTGAACTATATAAAGAAGTTATTTCAATTAATTTTTTTTTTCAAGTTTTATTATAACATTGTGGCTTTTTGCCACATATCATTTTCTTTTGTCCTATTATTCTTGACATCTTTCCCTGTTCTTTCGACCTTTGAGAACTTGCTTACCTTCTTAATTCTTCTTTCTAGGAGAAGAGGGACACTTCCCAGAAATTTCCAACAATGAGTACAAGGTTACCTGAGGGCATATGTGGTGAAGGAAGGTTACCTTTTGAGCGGTGCTCGAGGAGAGAAGAACTCTAGAGGAGAAAGGCATTGCGGTGTTTGATGCCCAAGAGACAGATGAGACTATAACCGAGAGTGGAAAATTTGAAATTCCTGGACCAGAGTTGGAGTGTTAGAGCTGGCATTTCAGTTAGATGAGTCAGAACGAGCAATTATTTCTTTTGAATCAACTAGACAAAGAAAGTGTGAGATAGCCAGGGTCGTAACCACAGTTACGCCACTTACGGGCACACGATCGTGGGATCGGTTCTCTTACTTTTTATAGGAGGGCTGTAAATACGCGAAACTGATCTAGACTGCGAAGTCCAGATCTACGTCAGGACTGACACCAGTTTGTCAATTATGTTCCGCAGACAAACACGCGTGTGAGATCTGATTCGGACTCAAATGAAGAGACATTTTAATTATAAATTAAATAATAATAAATTTAATGAAACATAAGAAAATAAAAACTAATACAAATTATTAAATGGAAGAATGATATAACTACTACAATTAAGATACAAATCGAGAGATATATGGACTTATACCCGATGTGCGATCGAGAGAGAGAGTTCACAAAATCGTTAGAAACATACAACCTGTTCTAGTTGTCGTTCGTCTTCTTCTCTGTAGGCAAGGGACACTTTGGAGATAAAGTTCATTTACTTCTTTCCATGGGAGATCGACATGTGCACAAAATCAAAGTATAACTTCTAAATGTTAACTCTGGGATTCTTCTATGTGACTCGTCTAAGGGCGTTGGTCATAAGGAGGAAAATGTATGGAGTCCGGACACCTCCAGAACTGTCGATGAACTCCCCGAATTCTGACAAATTTCCTCTATATGTCACAATCGGCGACCAATCATCATGCAAAGATTCCTCCGTGAGAATGGATGGAAAGGGGAATATGTGAGGGGTAAACATTTCCCATCAAAGCGAGAGTTTTCGCAGATAAGGGAAAAACAGAGGATGTACTAACTTCTGTGAAAGGAAGTAACATCTGTTATCTATTTTTCCCACTCTAAAACGTTATTTTTCTCACCCAAAGGAAAGAATATTTTATAACAAAATATTAACATTATTAATAAAATTACTGATTAGACCCAGGGGCCTTTCAGGTCTCACAAAAGGAAATCCTTCTAGAACCAAGGGAGAGAAAGATATATGGTGACCATTGGCAATATGCCAATTCAGACCAATACAGGATGCAGGAAAAAAGAGAAAAACAAACTTTGAACTGGACACTCTCTTTTGAACAAACAGCTACTGAGAACAGATGTTTGAATGAGTGGTCAACATAAACAAACATGAACCAGACCGTCAATTGATATCGAACTGTAAAAACATTGTACATTGCTGTATGTACTTGTAAATAAAAAAATATAAAAAAATCCAACCAGACGTTTTCTCATCAGCATCGAATCATTCTCATTTGATGATGAAACACCAAAGATAGAAGACAGTATCATATGTTTATAATGCTCATACATGGCTCTTTTGGTAGCCAAACGATCTGGGTATTGTTCCTTATTCTGTCCTTTTTGCTTTTTCTCCCCCCATACTTTCTACTTCCTTTTAGTTGTAAATTAGTGTTAAGTATTAGTGTTAATGAATATTTTTGTAATTACTATTGTTGTTATTCTTCTCTTTGTTTTAGTTGCAAACATCTCTATTGTCTACCAATGACTGGATTTTGAGTGACTGTAAAAGAAATTCTTAACATCTTGAGCTAAAATCCTCCTATTTTTTGTACCTTATTATTGTGCGAATTAAATTCTTTTCTTCTACCCAGTTTATGTTGTTTTTAATTTTGGTGTTTGCCCTTTGTCAATCTACTAAACACTTTTTCTCAAAGCTAACAACATTAATTTTGACCATATTATTATTCATAAAAGTTTTAATCAGTTACATATGCCTGTAAATATGAGCATAATTTAATATTAAAAAACAAACAATGATAAGATTTTTCTTCAGCTTTGAAATCTGTATTGTAACAGATGAATCTTTTAAAGTGGAAAAATATTTATGTCTTAACTTTTTAAGACTAAATATTTAAGAAAAAAATTTGCTGCTCCATGGAAACAGTGCAGCATGGCCATGGAATGCACATGCAATCTCATCATGCACCTATAATTTTCTTCAACAGCATCATTGCTCTAACATGAACATTTCAATTAATAAATTTTGCAAGATTATGAAATTAAGCCCGATCTAACGCAGCAAATTTAAACTATTGTAATGTAATTTGAAATATAATGAATTAATGAATTATTTCATTGGTAAATGATTCATCTGAAAACAAAATTATAAATGATACTTTCAAGAATTTTATAATTATAAAAAATAGCAAAAATAATTATTAGTAAACATTATAACTGCAAAATTATTATAAATTTTGTAGTTCTGCTTTTCCCCCATACCAGTATAGTTTAATGGGGCTTTTATGTCAATAAAATATTGAGACCAAATTCTTACATAATTGTATTGTAAAGAAATACATGAAAAATCAATTTTTCTTTCTGTTCTGACTTACAGAGAGCAGATAACTTTAAATCTCTAAAACATTATGTAAATAATGAAATAAAAGTTAAAAATAAAAAAGTTAAAGGCAAACCCAAGTGCAGAGAAAACACTATTACGTTGATAAATCCCCTAAATGCATTTTGCCAAACAGGCCTCTTCAGTAGTTAGACTGTAGCCTTGCATTTTTAACTTTTATTTCATTATTTACATAATGTTTTAGAGATTTTAAGTTATCTGCCCTCCGTAAGTCAGAATGGAAAAAAAATAGATTTTTTGTGTATTTCTCTACAATACAATTATGTAAGAATTTGATAAAATAATCTGATTCCATTGTTTTAAATAATTAATTTTGAAAATATTGAGATTCTCTTCTTTATATTTGACATATTTTGAGAATTTTTGCACTAAAGTTTTATGAATTTGACTAACATTTTTCAGTATTAATTAAATCAAATTTCAAAAATTCCTCCTAGCAATGGCTACCCTGATATTTTTCTAGATGGCAAATGGCTAGATTAATCCACATGCTACTGAGTCTGACTCTTAACTCAAGAAACTATTGTGGCCATATGCCATATTTTGTATACAGTAGACCCCTATACAAAATATGCTATAACTCGTAAAACGTCATCGCCGACTTGTGTCGCGACAGGATTGGTCGAATCTGGACCAATAGTAGATGAGCAGCCAAACTACTTACACGCTACGGATAGTTTAGACGGGTAAGTTGAGTTTACTATTGTCTGTACAATATTAACTTAATTTATTTTAACTTTATTATAATTATATATATACTTTCCACCGTCCAGCGCCACGCTACAGAGAGTTTAGGCGAGTAAGTTGAGTTTACTATCGTCTGTACAGTATGTAAATTAGGTACCATAAGTCTAATACAGTGTGAAGTTTCGTTTGAGGGCAATATATTATTGCAGACAGGAAACATATAAAACGAGTAAAAATACAAAATTTTTTTTATTCATCAAACACAGGTTCTTTAAAATGATTCAAACTTACAGACTATTGGGTTCGTATACATACAATAATCCTCTACACAAACAAGCCTCTATTGTGGCAACCAACACACGACTTATAGCTAAACTTAACCTACTTACACACTAAGGAAGGAGAAATAAAATATAGATAGGGATAGTAGTAGAATAAAGGAGAAAATACCCGGGAGTTTTCTGCCACGTGGTCTCGGATGATTCACCGTCTTGAAATTCTTAATGACTGCAGAC